TCTCTCTCAAATAAATATATACATACATAAAATATTAAAAAAAAAGAATAGCAATATTCCCCCTTTCCATATACCCCCCAAGCCCTGGCAACCACCTTTCTATTTTCTAAGAGTTTGAGAAACTGACTTTTTTTAACTGTAAATTTTTGATGATAACGAAAAATGATACTGATACAGTTTGGTGACAGAGCTTCAAAACATACTAAGGCACCAGCAGGTTTTTAATTTTTTTAATTTAAATTCAATTAATTAACATGTATTAATTGGTTTTAGAGGTAGAGTTCAGTGATTCATCAGTCTTATATAATACCCACTGCTCATTAAGGCACCAGCAGTTTTATCCACCATTTCACTTTACAGCATCAGTGCAGAGTCAACACAGTGAAAAAGGCAAAGAAAGTCTAAGTATTAGTATGAAATAATCTTGACCTCTTGGATCCCCAAGATTCTCAGAGACCCCCAAGGTCTGACAACTTTGCTTTGAGAACCATTGCTCTGGGCATGTTCCACATCTTAAAATCTAGGTAATAATACCGCTGTCTTAGAATTGCTGTGCTACTAAATAACCTACATAAAGAATCCAGCACAGGGGCGCCTGGGTGGCTCAGTCAGTTAAGCATCTCCCTTCCGCTCAGGTCATGATCCCAGGGTCCTGGGATCGAGTCCCACGGTCCTGGGATTGAGTCCCACATCGGACTGCTTGCTCAGAGCTTGCTCAGCGGGATGCCTGCTTCTCCCTCTCCTCCCAGCTCCTGTGCTCTCTCTCTTGCTATCTCTGTTTCTATCTCTGTCTCTCTCTCAAATAAATAAATAGAAATCTCAAAAAAAAAGCACAAAATCTTTTTTTTTTTTTTTAAGATTTTATTTATTCATTTGACAGAGAGAGAGGGAACACAAGCAAGGGGAGTGGGAGAGGGAGAAGCAGGCCTCCCGCAGAGCAGGGGGCCCGATGCGGGGCTCGATCCCAGGATCCTGGGATCATGACCTGAGCCCAAGACAGACGCTTAACGACTGAGCCACCCATGCACCCCCAGCACAAAACCTTATAGCAGGAACACTATAAATGTTTCCAGTCATTATAGCCCAGCTGTGATGGCTCCATGTTAATTTACCTAATCTCTTTATTCACTTTACACCATATTCAAAATTCTATCACATTTGCAACATTTCACATGTAATATGTATCTCCAGGATTCTTTACTTGCCTACTTCTTTATATTAGGTGAGTGTGTGTTAAAAATACTTAATGTAAAACTTTTTTAACCATTTTCGGGTGTACAGTTCGGCAGCATTAAATTCATCCATTGTTGTGCATAGGAAGCTTTTAATTTTAGCCAATTCCTTATTTATTCATTTGGGCCCCTGGGTGGCTCAGTCGGTTAAGCGGCTGCCGGCTAGGGTCATGATCCGAGGATGCCAGGATAGAGCCCTGCATAGAGCTCCGGGCTTGTCGGGGAGTTGGCCTCTGCCCCTCCCCCTTCTCTCTCTCTCTCTCTCTCTCTCTCTCTCTCTCTCAAATGAGAGAGAGTGAGAGCAAGCGAGAGAGAAGCCAACTCCCTGATGAGCAAGGAGCCAGATGCTGGATCCATCCCAGGACTCTGGGATCATGACCTGAGCTCAAGGCAGCTACTTAACCGACTGAGCCACCCAGGCGCCCCAATAAAAAAAGTCTTTTTAAAAAATTAGCCAATTCGTGTAGAAGCATTTCTGTCCTATTTACCTACTCATTTATCAAATGTTTATTTCACATGTGACAGGGCGGATTCAATCACTTCTGTGATTCTGCATTTTTCTAGATGGCTTTTTCAATTTTGCCTATAATTACTCCAAAATGTTGAGGGGTGAGGTTGGCGAGTTTATTCGAGTGTACATCCTCCAGACTGGGTTAGCTGATTGCTGAGAAGTATATTGGCTACTCAGCACAGGACTGCATACTTCTAAACTCCCTTTCTGTAATTTACATTACCCAGCAAGGTTCCCCCGCGAAGGCTCTATTGTCGCGAGAAGCCTCTGAGCCAGGTAGGGGTGGGGCTTAAGTTGCAATGGTTCCCAGAACCCTTAGCGAATTTCCGATTCCCTAACTGCGCAGGGCGATGCGCAGGCGCAATAAATACACCTTGACTTCCGCGCGCTTCCGAAGATATAAATAAGGATGCCCTGGAGCTTGCCCGGTCTTTTCGAGAACGATTGGGGCTCTGCGCGGAAGTCGGGTGGTGAGTTATTTTTACCCGTTACCCGTTCGATTCGTTAGTTCTAGGTTTAGTACCCCGGGCCCGCCAAGCAGATTTCCTCGTAGGCTTCATCCTATCTAGGACTCCCTTCAGCCGCGTCTGTGTTAACTACACTTACTCAGGCAGCGGAGCTGGGCCGGATGCGGGCCGCGGAGGCCTCGCGAGCCGCGGGTCTTGCCTGTAACCTAAGGCGCTCGCGCCGAAACCTGCAGAGCTGCCACCTCACGCGCCGGACGCTAAATGCGCGGCCCACCCCCTCCTGTTGCCCATCGCCCGGCTTATTACCTTGTCTCCTAGGAGGCGGTGGAATTGCGTGCAGGTCATTTACTTTGACACCTATATGAGCTTAAGAATCGATTTCGAAACGAACGGTTCTTGATTCTGCCACTTGATTTATGATGTAGGGAGAGCTCACGACTCCTGATGATCGGTTTATGGGTAGGAGCCGTAATTGCCGTGTCTGCGGCTCTGCATCTGCCGTTTCTTTGGCAGTGGTGCCATTCGCCTGTTGGGGTTTGTAGATAATGTTCGGGGTACCTGGCTGAAAGTTAATTTAGGTAACTGACAGGAGACTGCTGATCGGTATTGAACTCGAATTTCGTTGGCATTTGGGATAGGGTCCACCCCAAAGTGGATATCCTGGGGAAGTCGCCATCAACTGATTGAAATTTATTTCTAGCTCAGTGGCTTGCAAATTAAGTAAATTACAGTGACCAACGTGGATACTCCCGGGAGGTCACTCTCCCCGGGCTCTGTCCAGGTGGCCTACGGGAGCATAGGGCTCTGCCCCGTGACGTACAGTCCCTTTCCACGACGTTGGAGATGAAGCCGGGCCTTGAGTCTGCGCCTGCATATTCCTACAGCTTCTCAGAGTCCTCTGGACGATGACTGAGGAGATAAACCATGCAGGAAACAGCTCCCTCTATCTGGATCTAAGTTGATTGGAAAGAAAAACCCTTTCTCAGCTGCTGTACTATTGGATTAAGCTCTTGCCTACCTTATTTTGCAGTGATCACGCAGGATTCCAAATAAATTTTGACTTGAGGTAAGTAAACCAAAGATTGTTTTTGGCTTGTATTTCCTGTTGACATTTAAATCATTCCAGCCCAGTTCCTTTTCATGAATGTGTCCTGCCATTTAATTCATCCAGATAGAAACTTTTTTTTTTTAAGATTTTATTTATTTATTTGACAGAGAGCACAAACAGGCAGAGTGGCAGGCAGAGGGAGAGGGAGAAGCAGGCCTCCCGCCCAGCAGGGAGCCTGATGCGGGGCTCGATCCCAGGACCCTGGGATCACGACCGGAGCCAAAGGCAGACACTCAACCAACTGAGCCACCCAGGCGCCCCCCAGATAGAAACTTTGCTGCATTTTTGTTGGCATGTTGACAGTTGCGTAAATATATGCTCATGTCTGGGAAGATAGCTTTTTTTATTCAGTAAAAGTTAATATTTTCACATCTTTCTCATGTGATAGGGTAGGAACTTGCTGCTAATGGAAAAATTGTAGTTTGGGTGAATTAACCAAAGTCAAGATTAGCAAAGCTTGTATGTGAATCCTATAAACAAAACAAATGTGCATACTCCCTCAAAGTCTGTGCATGGTAGCCAAGCATTTGGTGTCCAGTACAAACCCTCTCCATGATTCTGGAGATGAAGTTGGGTGTATGTACCTGAATATTCCTAGGACAATGAGTAAGTAGAGAAACCATGAAACAGTAGTAACGACTGGGTTTTAAACAGGCTTTCCTCAAATTCACTTGTGTAGAATGGAATGGGGGAAAATGGAATCTCTTAAAAATGTTTTGAGGGTGATGCTCTTTAATCATAGGCATTCCAACGTGGATACTCCCGGGAGGTCACTCTCCCCGGGCTCTGTCCAGGTGGCCTACGGGAGCATAGGGCTCTGCCCTGTGACGTACAGTCCCTTTCCACGACGTTGGAGATGAAGCCGGGCCTTGAGTCTGCGCCTGCATATTCCTACAGCTTCTCAGAGTCCTCTGGACGATGACTGAGGAGACAAACCATGCAGGAAACATCTAATGAAAACTAAAATTAAAATTTTTAGTGAGATCTTAAGTAGGAGTCTGATCATGTTTTTCATTTGTTTTCATTCAGGAGAGAAGAGGAGCCTCACCAATCATTGGCAGTTAACACCCGTTTGGGTCCTTTATTTGGCAGGGAGGGTTGGTAAAATGAATGATAAATGCTGTTTATAAGATAAGCCTGGAGGTTTGGAAACTTGGGCATATTTGACCTCTTTAAACTGAATACTAAATTTGGGGAACAAGTTGAATGTTCCAAAGGATGGGCCCATTGAAATTTAGGGAATGCGGACAGCACTGAATATAGGCATGTCTTAACAATCTGATCCTTTGACCCACAAAGCCCAAAGATTCCAGAATGCCTATGAGGAGAAAACTTAAGGAAGCTAAGATGCTACTTGGCCTTTTCTACTGTTCTCAAGTAAACTGGGTTTTCTAACTATATAACTGAATGGAAAACAGAAGCCTATCAGATCCTAAGTGTCTTATTAAAGATCCAGGTCTGTTTATAATGTATTTATGAATTAAAATAAAGATGACTGCGTATTTGTGTGGCTCCTTTTTTTGTGGAAATGTGACTGACAACCGTATTCTGTGAATGGAAGTGCTTGTTAGGAAAACTACCTTTGCAGTTATGTTTGATTAGTTCTGCATTAACTAAAGACTGAGCTTGTGTGTCTTGTGTCACTTGGCACTTGTTTACTCTTTTTTTTTTCTTTTTTTAAGATTTTATTTGACAGGACAGCAAGAGAGGGAACACAACCAGGGGGAGTGGGAGAGGGAAAAGCAGGCTTCCCGCCGAGCAGAGAGCCTGATGTGGGGCTCCATCCCAGGACCCTGGGATCATGACCTGAGCTGAAGGCAGATGCTTAACGACAGCTACGCAGGCGCCCTGGCACTTGTTTACTCTTATGTGGGAAAATGTGTGTTGATTCCTACCAGTTACCTAGTGTGCAGGTAAAAGCTGGTTGCATTCAAAGGTGGGTAGTGCTTAGGATACCTAATGAATTTAGGTGTGGTGTCTTGAAAGATGAACATAAAATTGACCACTGGACATGAGTGTTAAGAGATCTTGGTTACTAATTAGGCCAAGCCTTCGGTTTCTCACAATATAATACAGGTAAATTGACCTTAACAAGGTTGGGCATAAATGCTAAAATCACACCTCTGTTAAGCTAGTTAAGCCTCTACTGCCAGTGTTCCAAGTGGAACTTAAGCCTGAGAAGATGGTCATCCTGCCTATGAGTGATGTGAGGTTGAGTCACAATGGAAATCTTGTCAAGCTCATGTACTGGCTGCCAGCATAGGGCAGCTGAGACCCTGAAGGATGGGGACTAACAGGGAACCATCTAGAAGGTAGAGTCTAGATCCAGAGTGGGGCGAAATGAAACAAGGTGGGGAGAGGGCTTGTAATAGCCATGTGACCAGTTAGAAGCCATCAGGGTCAAGTTTAAGGGAAGTGGGTGATTTGAGTAATGAGTCTTCCCCAGACTCCTGGAACAGCGGGGCATACTGCTTCACCCATTTGAGGGCCAGAGGATAGAACTGAAGCTAGTTAAGCATTCATAGCCATGATTCTAGAAAAGAACGTGGGAGAGCTGCTTGGGCTTATTTTTGAGTGTGACTAGGTGATCTGTTAAAACAAGTACACTTGAACTTGTACTTACCTGTGCCAGGCACTGTCCTAAGCTTGGCATGTATTCACGACTCTGAGGTGTAGGTATTAGTTTTAACAAATAGGCTGATTGCCCAAGCCAACAGCTAAGTAGAGCCTCTGTACAAATGAACTCCTGTAGAATTTCTGGGAGGGAACCTGGATGCCCAGGGCCAACCTTTTCTCTGGTGCTCATCTTTCCTATCCTTACTACATAAGCAGCCTATGGAGAGGAGGTGCTCAGATGTCTGAATTGTGTTTTTTTCCCTACAACCAGGCAGGGAATTTAGTTTTTAGTACAAATGAGCAGGGTTAGGCTGGGTAACCTGCTGGGCAAGAAATACGTGCATTTTTTTCCTCCACATCCAAAGTGTAGCTGAAGCAAAGCTGTCAGGTATTCTAGGCCCCACCTTTTCAGGCTTCTGCTTTCGACATACTTGTCTGTAGGCTTTTTCCAAACAGGCTCTTCTGGCCTTTTTCTGCATGTAGGCAGTCCTATCAGTCGTTGTGAAAGTTGGAGTCTTGGAGTCAAGACTTCCCTGCATTTGAATCCAAATACCACAACTTGCTATCCATGTGACCTTGGGCAAGCTACTTAACCTCCGCCTCAATTTTTTCATCCACAGAACGGGAATGATAAAAGTACCTACCTCTTGGGGTTTTAATGAGAAATGAGTTAATTGTAAAAAGCTTACAGTTTCATAAAAGCACAATGAGTTTGTTAAATATCACTTCTCAAGCAAACACCTGGGATGCAGTATCCAATAAATTTTGTTGAATGAGTAAAGTCTACCATCACTTAGCTATTACTAACCCAGGTTTATCTCAGAACCAACCCTATCTTTCCAGGAGAGATTAAGGGATTAGTAACTTCCCCAAAATCACCTAACTAGTAAGGAGCAGAACCAGGACTCAAACCTAACTCCAAAACTATATTATATATTATTAGCTTTGAGCAAGACAGTGGTGATGTATGTACATTATTTAATACTCCATGTACCTTGGTAAAGTAGGTACTCTTTGTGCCCATTTTGCAGATGAGGAAAACTGAAGTTGGAGGATATGAGGAACTTGCCCAAGTTACACAGCCAGTAAGTGGCAGAGCATGCCTGTGAGCAAGGCAACTGACCACAGAACCTGTTTTCAACCTATTTCATATGATGCCTCAAAAAATACTATTTCCATCTGGTTTATACCACTTTTTTGGTACTAAGCTAATGTAATAACTGCTATACCATAAAACCTCAGTTTCATTTGTAATGAATTTTAAACATAAGTGCCCAGTTTTACTTGACAGTGGAAAATGAAGTGGAAATGAGTAGTTTCCTGGGGACTGAGAGCCCTTCCCTGGCCATGCCTCCCTCTTTCACCCCTTTCTATCTTTGGGATGGATGGGACCCACATTTTAATGATAGTACCTGACATTTGATGAAGATTTGCCGTGTGCTAGGCATTCTTTAATCCTTAAAACAGTCTTAGGCAGTGCAGGGAATTTTATTAAATCCATGTTCTAGAAAAGGAAGACAAAATCAAAATTATATCATTTGCCCAAGGCCACACAGAATAGAACTTAAAAGGTGTTTGTCTCTAGAACCTGAACTCTGCACCACTGTCTTCACTTTCCCTTATAAGCACCATCACCTTGAGCATTCCATTATGATAGCATTCTGATGTGATTATTTTTAAACTGATGTACATCTAACTTACTAGTTGGATCCTCAAGGAATGGTACCATCTATGTAAGCTCAGTACCTACACTGTGCCTGGCACATGGCAAACACTGGTTGATGATTTTGTTTTTCTATGTTCTATTGATTACTGCTTTTATCTTTATTTTCTTTTGACTAGATGTAGTTTACTCTTCTTTTCCTCATTTCTGTTTTTATTAGGATTTATTTGAGAGATCGCACGAGTGGGGAGGGGGGAGAGGGAGAGAATCTGGAGCAGATTCCCTGCTGAGGATGGAGCAACACATGGGGCTCAATCTCACAATCCTGAGATCATGACCTGAGCTGAAATCAAGAGTCTGACCCTTAACCGACTAAGCCACCCCAGCACCCCTCTTTCCCTCTTCTTAAGGTAGAAGTTGAGGTCATTGATTTAAGAACTTTCCTTTTTTTAAAAAAAATTTTTTTAATATATATATATATATTTTTTTTTTTTAAGATTTTATTTATCAGAGAGAGAGAGAGGCCAGCAGAGGGAGAAGCAGGCTCCTTGCTCAGCAAGGAGCCGGACGTGGGACTCAATTCCAGGACCCTGGGATCATGACCTGAGCCGAAGGCAGACGCTTAACTGACTGAGCCACTCAGGCGTCCTTTTCCTTTTTTTTTTAATATAAGCATTTAGTGTTATATGTTTCTCCCAAATATTGCTTTAACAATATCCTAAACTTCTGGTTTGTTGTGTTTTCTGGTATGTTGTGTTTTCATTTTAATTCAGGTCAAAATACCTTTAAATTCCCTTTTGTTTTTTTTTTATCTATGGGCTATTTAAAAGTGTATTCATTTTTAAATACTTGGGAGTTTTCCAAAAATCTTGCTGTTATTGGTTTCTATTTTAATATCAATGTAGTCTAAGAATATGCTTTGTACGACTTGAATCCTTTTAAATTTACCAAGACTTGTTCTATGACCTAGAACATGGTCTATCTTGGTAAATGTTTCATGGGCACTTGAGAAGGATATGTATTTTACTGTTATTTGAAGAAAGCAAGGTGGAATGTGAAGAAAGGTGAAGCATTGTATAAATGTCAATCAATCAGTAAAGTTGGTTGCAAGTGTTGTTCAAGTCTATATCCTTGCTGGTTTTCTGCCTACTTGTTCTATCAATTATCGAGAGTGGGTTATCAAAATCTCCAACTATATTTGTGGATTTGTCTATTTCTTCAAGAAGTTCTATCAGGGGGTGCCTGGGTGGCTTAGTTGGTTAAGCATCTGCCTTCTGCTCAGGTCATGATCCCAGGATCCTGGGATGGAGCCCCACATCAGGCTCCCTGCTCAGCGGGGAGCTTACTTCTCCCTCTGCCTCTGCCTGCCACTCACCCAGCTTGTGCTGTCTGTCAAATGAATAAATAAATAAATAAATCTTAAAAAAAAAAAGTTCTATCAGTTTTTGCTTCATGTATTGTGAAACTCTTAATAGTTGCGTATATGTTCAGGATTGTGTATTTTGATTCATTGACTCCTTTATCATTTATGAAATTACTTTTTTTCAATAATATTCTTTGCTCTGAAATCTACTTTGGTTTTTGTTTTGTTTTTTTAAGATTTTATTTATTTATTTGAGACAGAGAGAATGAGAGACAGAGAGCATGAGAGGGAGGAGGAGCAGACTCCCCGCCCAGCAGGGAGCCCGATGCGGGACTCGATCCCGGGACTCCAGGATCATGACCTGAGCCGAAGGCAGTCGCTTAACCAACTGAGCCACCCAGTCGCCCCTACTTTGTTATTAATATAGCTGATTCAGCTTTCTTTTGACTAGTGTTACCAGAGTATGTCTTTTCTATCCTTTTACTTTTAACCTATTTGTATATTTATATTTGAACTATATTATCTTGTAGGCAGTGTATAATTGGGTCTTGCTTTTTTGATTTATTATGATAATCTCTACCTTTCACCTGGAGTGTTTAGACCCTATTTTTATATGATTAATATGCTTAGGTCTGAGTCTCACCTTTTTTTTTTTTTTTTTTTTTGAGAGAGAAAAAACATGGGTATAGGGAGGGGCAGAGGGAGAAGCAGACTCCCTGCTGAGCAGGGCTTGATACCAGCACCCTGAGTTCATGACCTGAGCCGAAGGCAGACACTTAACCAACTGAGCTACCCAGCGCCCCAGAGTCTTACCATTTTGATACTTGTTTTCTATTTGTCTCATCTGTTCTTTGTTCCTTTTGTCTTCTTCTTCTGCCTTTTTTTTTTTTTAAAGATTTTATTTATTCATTTGAGAGACAGAGAGCAGGAGAGGGAGGAGGGTCAGAGGGAGAAGCAGACTCCCTGCCGAGCAGGGAGCCCAATGCGGGACTCGATCCTGGGACTCCAGGATCATGACCTGAGCCGAAGGCAGTCGCTTAACCAACTGAGCCACCCAGGCGCCCCTTATTCTGCCTTTTAAAAAAAAGTATTGGGGGCACCTGGATGGCTCAGTCAGTTGAGTGTCTGACTCTTGATTTCCACTCAGATCATGATCTTTGGGTCCTGAGATTGAACCCCGCATTGGGCTCCTCGCTCAGCAGGGAGTCTGCTTGGGATTCTCTCCCTCCCTTTCCCTTTGCCCCTCCCCCTATGCTTGCACACACACTTTCTTTCAAATAAATAAATAAATCGTTAAAAAAAAAATGAGTATTGGGCGCCTGGGTGGTTCAGCTGGTTAAGTGTCCAACTCTTTTTTTTTTTTTAAGATTTATTTATTTGACAGAGAGACAGCGAGAGAGGGAACACAAGCAGGGGGAGTGGGAGAGGGAGAAGCAGGCTTCCCGCCAAGCAGGGAGCCCGATGCGGGGCTCGATCCCAGGACCCTGAGATCATGACCTGAGCCGAAGGCAGACGCTTAACGTAAGTGTCCAGCTCTTGATTTCAGCTCAGGTCATGATCTCAGGGTTGCGAGATTGAACCTGCATCGAGCCCCGTGTTGGGTGTGAGGCCTGCTTAAGATTTTCTCTCTCCCTCTCCCACTGCCCCTCTGCCCTCCCTCTCTCTAAAAAAAAAAAAAAAAAAAAAAGTATTTTTTTTTTCTGATTCTATATTACCTTCTTTGTTGGCTTACTAGCTATAACTTTATTTTGTTATTTTTGTGGTTGCTTTAGGGTTTATAATACATATCTTCAACTTACCAGAGTCCACATTAATTGATATTATCACATCACTTAGGACTGTATAAGAACCATATGTTTGTCACCCCCCAGTCTTACTGTTGTCTTGTGTATCACTTTTATATATATTATAAAACCCACAATACATTATTTTTTTTGTTTAAACAGGCAATTATCCTTTTTTAAAAAATTTTTTATTGTTATGTTAATCACCATACATTACATCATTAATTTTAGATATAGTGTTCCATGATTCATTGTTTGTGCATAACACCCAGTGCTCCATGCAGAACATGCCCTCTTTAATACCCATCACCAGGCTAACCCATCCTCCCACCCCCCTCCCCTCTAGAACCCTCAGTTTGTTTCTCAGAGTCCATCGTCTCTCATGGTTCGTCTGGCAATTATCCTTTTTAAAGTTTTAAGGAAGAGGGGCACCTGGGTGGCTCAGTCGTTACGCATCTGCCTTCGGCTCAGGTCATGATCCCGGAGTACCGGGATCGAGCCCCGTATCGGGCTCCCTGCTCCGTGGGGAGCCTGCTTCTCCCTCTCCCACTCCCTCTGCTTGTGTTCCCTCTCTCGCTGTGTCTCTCTCTGTCAAATAAATAAATTTTTTTTTTAATAAAGTTTTAAGAAAGAAAACAATCTTTCAAAAATGAAGGTGAAATAAGGTATTTTCTAATGCTCTTCATGCCTCTGTTGTAGATCCAGATTCTTGTCTGGTATCACGTTCTTTCTGCCGGTCTTTCTTTAACATCTCTTTTACAGTGGTTCTACTGGTGATGAATTCTTTCAGCTTTTGTATGTCTGAAAATAACTTTTCTTTTTTTAAGATTTTATTTATTTATCTGACAGAGAGAGACACAGTGAGAGAGGGAACACAAGCAGGTGGAGTGCGAGAGGGAGAAGCAGGCTTCCTGGCAAGCAGGGAGCCCAATGCGGGGCTCGATCCCAGGACCCTGGGACCATGATCTGAGCCAAAGGCAGACGCTTAACGACTGAGCCGCCCAAATGCCCCTGAAAATAACTTATTTTCACCTTTAGTTTTGAGAGATGTTTTTGCTGGATATACCTTCTCAGATATAATTTTGCTAGAGTACTTTAGAGATGTTGCTCCATGTCATGTTGTTTGCATTGTACCCTTGCCTTTGTTCCTCTGTACCTAACATGTTGCATTGTATCCTTGTCTCGTTTCTCTGTATATAACATGTCTTTTTTCTGACTGCTTTTAAGATTTTCTGTCATTGGTTTTAAGCAATTTGATTTTGATGTATCTTGTTTTTTGTACTTGGAGTTACTTGAGCTTCTTGGATTTTGTGTTGGTCAATGTTCTCCAGAGAAACAGAACCAACAGAAGGTATGTGTGTAGATAGATAGAGATTTATTTTAAAGAATTGGCACACGTAGTTGTGGGGGCTGGCAAGTCGGAAATCAGTAGGGCACTTTGGCAGGCTAGAAATTCCAGCAAGAGTTGGTGTTGCAGTCTTGAGCCTACATGTAGTCTTGGCAGAATTCCTTCCCTTCAGGCCTTCAACTGATTGGATGAAGCCCACTCACATTACAGAAGGTAATCTGCTTCCTTAAAGTCTACTGATTTAAAGGTTATCATATCCAAAAAATACCATCACAGCAACATCTAGACTGGCATTTGACCAAACAGCTGGCCACCATAGCCTAGCCAAGTAGACATATAAAATTAGCTATCACAGATCTGTAGGTTTGTAGTTTGCACATTTTTAAGCTGTTATTTCTTCATATGTTCTCTGTCCCCAGCTCCTCCTTGCTTCCCTGTATATTTGGCCACTTAAAGTTATTCCATAGCTCACTGATGCTATTTTCAATTTTTTATTTTTATTTTTTAAAGATTTTATTAATTTATTTGACAGAAAGAGACACAGCGAGAGAGGGAACACAAGCAGGGGGGGAGTGGAGAGAGAGAAGCAGGCTTCCCACTGAGCAGGGAGCCCGATGTGGGGCTCGATCCCAGGACCCTGGGATCATGACCTGAGCCGAAGGCAGATGCTTAACAACTGAGCCACCCAGGCACCCCTATTTTCAATTTTTTAAAATTCTTTTTTCTCTGTGTTTCATTTTGGATAGTTTCTATTGCTATGCCCTCAAGTTTACTAATCATTGCTTTTGCAATATCTAATATATTGTTAATAGCATCCAGTGTATTTGCAATCTTAGATACTGTCATGAAATTCACTTTGGGGGGTGCCTGGGTGGCTCAGTCGGTTGAGTGTCTGCATTCAGCTCGGGTCATGATCTCAGAATCCTGGGATCAAGCCCCACATCTGGCTCCCTGCTCAGCAGGGAGTCTGCTTCTTCCTCTGCCTCTCCGCCTGCTCATGCTCATTCTCTCTTTCTCAAATAAAATATAAAAAAGAAATTCACTTTGGGTCTTTTTATATCTTCCATGTCTCTACTTAACTTTTATGCATATGGAATAAAGTTACAATAACTTTCTTTTTTTTAAGATTTTATTTATTTGAGAGAGAGAGACAGGGATAGAGAGAGAGCATAAGTGGGGAGGAGAGGGAGAAGCAGGCTCCCTGCTCAGCGGGGCTCAATCCCAGGACCCCAGGATCATGACCTGAGCCGAAGGCAGACACTTTAATAACCAACTGAGCCACCCAGGCGCCCCTACAATAACTTGCAATATCTTTCACTTCTGTCATTTGAACCAGTTCTGGGCTGGGTTCAATTGATTGTCCTTATGGTTTGTGTTCAATAAATAAAACAATGATAGAATGTGAAAAAATTAAAATTAGTATTTGGGTTCAGAATAGGAAAAGATAAAGTGGAGCCAAGGAAGACTTCACAGAGATGGGGACTGAATTGAGCCTTAAGATATATCAAGAGCTCTGCAAGGCAGGAAGAAAGGCTCTTGTTGGGGAAAACAGCCTAGATAAAGGTGAGAAGGTAGAATGAACGTGGGCACCTTCAGAGTACGGTGCAGAGGGGAAGGGGAGAATGGGAGATCAACAACCTGGGGCATTAGCCACCTGGTGTTCCAAGCGCAGCAGTGAAGAGATTTTGGAGTCTTGAAAGATTTTGAAGCAGGGCAAGTTCTCAGAGCCGTGATTTAGGGAGACTAACATGGGGACCTAGGTGGAACAAAATGGAGGGGAAGGGATGAGGGGCAGGAGCAGAAGCCAAGAGGGTGGTGCCTTAGACCAGAGGGGCAGAAACAGAAACATGAAGAGGGGAGAGAAGGAAGAATCAGAAGTTAAGGATTAAATCTTTACTTCTCCGAGAACCTTAATCTTGGCTATAAGGATGAAGTTGGGAGGGGAGTCTAGATCCATACAAAACATGTTTTATTTTAGGTATTGGGTCTTCTGGGAAGAGCTGTAGGGCTGAAACTTAGGGTGGAAGTCAAACCAGACCAAATGGACTGTCCTCTCAGCTGAAAGAACAAGAGTTCTGGTCCTCTTCTACTGCTTGTAGTGCTGACCCCAGAGAACTGGCCTCAGCTCTTAGAACCTCATTTTTCTCATTTGCCAACGATCATGAGGTTGTGTAAGGAACAAATGAGCTCATGGACATGGGTGGATGTGTTTTTGTAGTTAACAAAGTAAAGGGTTTTACAAAATAGTTGATAATAATCATTCTTATAATTACATTAAGCCATGTGAATGAGTAAGATCTTGGAAGAAGACAGCAGAGAGATCAAAGATCCAGGGTTAAAACTTGGAGAAATTTCACAGAATATCATCCAAAAGAGGAGTCCATGATGGAGGCAGAGGTAAACTTGGAGAGGTAAGAGACCCTGAAGATGGGGAGTACTTTGGGGTGGGGTCCACATCGTAGGAGAAATTCGGTTGGTAAATACTCATCAAAAGTGTCCGTCTAGGGTTCAGGTATGATTGAATGACTTTCAGAGTCAGAATCAACATGAAATGGAGAAAATGCCCTTCTGCAGAGGTCCCTGCTCTGATCTCAGAAATCCCCCAACACAATCAAGTCACCTCAGGGAACACCTGAAATCCTGAACTGTTTGTATCCATCCTGAAGAAGGAGTGTGTTAACAAGAGAGCACAGTCAACTTGATGCTTTTTTTTTCCCATCTCCAGCACCTCACCCCAGTCCACAACCTCATCTTCTTTCTTAGCTGGTCTCCTTTGCTTCTCTTGCCCACCCGCCCCCCTCTTAGTTTCCCCTCCCACCAACTCCATTCTCCATTTTGCTCTAAAATAAGACTCTGCTCATGTCACTCCCTTGCTCAGATCCCTTCCCTAACTCCCCACTGCCTCGGGATAGAGGCTGTACTCCTTAGACACACGAGGCCCTGCATCATGGTCTGACTCTCCCTCTCGAGCGTTCTCCACTCACTCCCACGGGCACCCTCTGCTCAAATCACACCTTGGCAGTTTTCCGCAACAACCCTAGGTTCTCATCGCTCTCTGTCATCGCAAGGGATGCATCTCCTAGATGCCCTGCCCTCTTAGACTTACCTTGGAAAGCCTTTCCCAAGCCCCAGGCTCAGCCAGATGCCCCTGCGTGGTTGTTGATGGTCTGATTTCTCACCTTTCTCTGACGGGGACCCCTTTGAGAGCAGGGAAGATCATTATCTCCACAGTCCCTGCCCCACCAGATCTTCCCCAACCAACCCTGGTTTCAAGTAGTCTCTGGTTGTCAGTCCACTGGTCCGGATTTGGAACCTCCCAGATACATACCCACAGTACCCGGACCAGGGGCGGAGAGAACCCGGTCTAGAGCGCTCTAGCCCGAGCGCGCCACTTGCACTTCCCGGGGCGGCCGCCAGGGGCCGCCGGGCTCTTTGTTTTCCTTTCTGGCCCGGGGTCGGGGCCGGAGGCCTGCAGAGCGCATGCTCTGGGGCAGTTCGCGGCCGGGCCGGCGAGCAGAGGAGTTGCTTGTGGCGGACCTGCAGCGAGGTAGGTCGCGCCCGTCACGGGCGGAGGGTCGGGGCGGAGGGCGGCGCGCGGGGCGGCCACAGCCGGAGCCCTGGCGGGCCGGGGCCGTTGCCCGCGCGCTCGTGTCGGCGGCGCCGGCCCCACGTGAAGCCGGGCGGCAGGAAGGCGCGGGTGCGGGCGCGCGGGTCCCCGGCCCCGCGGGGCGCCCTGGCGCCGGCCTGGCCCCGCCTGGCTCGAGCGAGGGCCGCGCGGCCCCACTGCCGCCGCGCCTCTGTCGTCCGGCCCGCGGCGCCCGCGCGGGCGGGAGATTCAAACGGCCCGAGCGCGGCCGGCCGTGAGCGCGCGGCCGCGGTGACCCCGCCGGGCGCAGAGCGGCGCGCCTCGCGGCCCGGGACCGGCCGCCCCGGCCGGGGCTGCGCTTCCCGAGCGGGGAAAGTGGTTGTGCCCAGCGTCCGTCCGGAGGGTGCGTTTGACAGAGCCCGGGGAGGGATCCTGCCCGGCGAGAGTGCGTGCCTTAGGAGCGCGAGGCTAGGCTGGTGAGGGTCTTCTGCAGGCATAGAAGTCTCAGCGTCAACAGGCACCAGGACGAAGACTGTTGACTCTTGGAGAGGTGTGCTGTGAACCCCGCATCAACTCCTCTGTCAACCGATTATTTACTGCCTGTCTACTCCGTGCTGCGCTGGCCCGGCTGGGGAACAATGGTGAGAAGGGCCCCGCGTGGCCTTTACAGAGCCCCCGGTCTCCTTGGGGAGACCCATCTGGGGGCCTCAGTTATTGGTCCAGTGTGTCACCGAAGTGTGTCCGTGAAACCATTCATTCGTCAGATAGTAATGGAGGTGCTCCAGCCAAGTGTGACTTGTGTGTCCTAGCGGAAGTTGACTGTGTTGGGTGGTATGGGAACGCGTGAGGGGGTCACCCAACCCTGCCCAGGAGGGTCAGGATGGCCTTCCAGGTGAGGTGACTCTTGAACGGGGTTTTGACCGGACGGTGGAGTTATTCAGCTGCCTGGGGTGGAGGGGTTAGTGCCAGCCAGGCAGGGGCATGCAAAGGCACGAAGGTGTAGGTGAGTGTTGGGGTTAGGAATACCACAGATGTTGAAGTCTGGAGTAAAAGAAGGGAGTAACAAGATAATACAGCAAGGGCTGGGTCTTGAAAGGTCTGGAGTGCAAGACCAAGAAACACTGGGTGGTGGTGGAGGAGGCAGGGACGGTGTCACCCAAGAAGGGCATCAGAGCGGAGTCTGGAAAGATGAATTCAGAGTTCACCTTGCTCTTGTTGCAAAGACATCCCAAGAGCAGGAATCCTGTTCAGCTTTGCAACTTACTTGTTGGGTGCCCTTGGGCCACCCACCCCGTGTCCCTGGGTGTTAGTTTCTTTATCTGTAAAATGAAGGTAAGAGGTATGTTGTGAGAATTACTAATATCCTGTATTTTTCATAAAGCAGTGATTCTAACATCCGGTGGAAGCTGAGGTGCTTTTCCCCCAGGCATAACTCTGTATACAAGGGGGCACCTCTGGCGAGGAACTCCTGGGGTGAAGTATACCAGCGCTGTGCCTGGCACAGAGCAGGAGCTCAGCAAGTGTTTGCTGACACGAGACCCTCTCCTCCCTTTCCTCCCGGGGACCTTAACTCACAAAGAGATTCTTAAGCCTCTGAGACTGGCAGGCAAGTGTCTGCCTCCTGATGTTGGCGAGGTGGGGGTGGTGGCCAGGACAGCTGCTGTGGTCAGAGAGGGCCCTGTCTGTCTTTGCAGAAACGAGGCTGTGGAGAGGTCATAGGAGGTCACAACAGGAACACTAGGCTCCTGGTAGACTGTCTAGTCTGGTGTGCCTTCATTCACTACATGAGGAAACTGGAGGCCAGGGAGAAGAGGGGAGGAAGGGTGGGGTTGCCCTGGCCCTCATGGGGAGTGCTCAGGAGACCTGGGATCTAATCCCACCTTTGTGGCCTGGGGCACCTTTCCTGAGCCTCAGCTTTCTTATCTGTAAAACCAGGGTGATCACACCTAGCATCATAGGTGGCTCTTAGTGGAAGTTGACTCTCTGAGTTCTACTTATTTTTGACTATGTCTCACTCTTCTCCCAGACTGTAAGCTGCTGAGGATGGAAGCTGTGTTTGTCTGTTAGGGAGTGAGGGGTGGGGATAAAAGATTGCTACTTATTTCTAGTCCAGATACTTAGTGTGTGGTTAAGAAAACACACCCAGAGCAGTTAGAGGAGTCTGTACAAAGGACTGATTTGTGCAGTCGAGGATAGGCAGGTGGGTAATGGGTGCAGGGCTCCACCTTTTATTCATTTATTTATTTTTAGCTTCTTTCTTTCTTTTTTTTTTTTTAAGATTTTATTTATTTATTTGAGACAGAGAGAATGAGAGACAGAGAGCATGAGAGGGAGGAGGGTCAGAGGGAGAAGCAGACTCCCTGTCGAGCAGGGGGAGCCCGATGCGGGACTCGATCCCGGGACTCCAGGATCATGACCTGAGCCGAAGGCAGTCGCCCAACCAACTGAGCCACCCAGGCGCCCAGCTTCTTTCTTTCTTTAAGTAATCTCCATACCCAGTGTGGGGCTCGAACTCATGACCCTGAGATCAAGAGTCACATGCTCTTTTGCGTGAGCCAGCCAGGTGCCCCCAGGGCTCCACCTTTTAGGAGGTGCCCTCATCCCCTGCCCTGCCTCTGGGATTGCTCACAACAGCATTCTGCAGTACCTAGAGTCTTCCATCTGAGAGGCAAATACTCTGAGGCTCACAGAGAACTCAGGTTTGTCCTTCCCCATGTCCTTCAGTGGCTCCCACACCCACCTGGCCCACCCACTTAGACCCAAGCTGCCTCAGTGTCTCCTCTCTGGTTTCACCATCCTCTTCCACTCAGCTGGCTTCTGCCCTCACGTATGTTTGGCCAAGCTCATGGGGGATTCTGGGGAGGCCTGCCTGGGCTGCCTCCACCTCTGCCTGGATCATGGCTGCCTTTGGCCAACCTGGTTTTTGTTTTTAAGTCAGTCAGGTATACCTGGTTTCTATTCCTGACTCTTTTTTACTGGCTGTATTCTCTGAGCCTCAGGCCCGTCAGTTGAATTAGGAGTGATAGTGCTGCTTCAGCTTGTTGTGAGAAGTAAAAGGCTGTTGGCATACAGAAGATAGGAGTGGCTAGTGCCCGAGAGTGGCTCGTAGTTTAAGGAGTAGGTAGGTATGGTGGACAGACATGTAAAACAGAGTAGTTATGATCCAGAAGATCCCAGTTTCTCTGGGAGGGAATGGTTAGTTTAGGATGAGGGGAGGGACCAGGAAGGTTTACCAATGGAGGTGACTTTGGGATTGAGTAGACATTCTTCCAGTAGGATAAGGGATGGGAAGGTATAGAGATGCAAATGGTCTGGAGAGAACTGTAAGCAATCTAAGATTGTGTAGGAAGCAAAAGGAGGATGTGACAGAGAAGGGATGAGGCCAAAGTTATGTCAGTACCAGACTCTGGAGGCCTTTCGCACCAGGCTAAGAAATGTGGGCTTTGTCTTCCAGGCAGAAGGAACCACAGGGGAGTCTGAGCAAGGAAGCTGCTTGTTTCAGGTTTGAGGTTTAGAAAGATCATGGTTGACTTACGGAATGACATGGGGTGGGGATCAGGAGGACCAGAGCCAAGTGGCTGTCTTTTCTTGGTGAGAGGGTATGAGAGACAGTTCCCAGGCAGGCTGAGAGACTGGGGAGCTTGGGGAGGAAGTTGGCAAGGGCACCAGCTTTGGAGTCTGACCAGCTTGGTTGAGACCTTCACTCCCTTTTCCAGTCCTGGGTGAGGTACTTTACCTTTCTGAGCCTCAGCTTCCTCGCCTGTAAAGTAGGACCAGTGTGCCTAGCTTGCAGTGAGATGCCCCGCAATGTTCACCAAAACGCAGGTGGCTAAGATGTTCACTGGGTTCCAGCCCACAGTAACACATGTTTTTGTTAGCACCCTGTGATACCAATCACCTCATGTTTATTTTTCCGTCTCCACTCCAGGCCTTGACTACAGGTCAGCCTAGCATCAGCACCAGTATGGTGACATAATTCTCTTCCCTTTGTTTTCACTTAACTTCTTGTTGTGAGCACTTTTCCATGCTACGACACGGTCTCCCTCTCTGCCACAGCTAACCTCTACAGGTCGTTCTGATGAACTGACGGGAGATTTACCTTTGGCAGGACAGGGCCTTGGCCAGAGATACAAGCTGCCTACCTGAAACAAGGATACCTGTTCTATCCCACACCCCTTAACCCACCCAGTTCTGCATACTTAACATCCCCTCTCGTTGGCTCCCAACGACTTCAGACTTAAGGAAAACATTGCGTAAAATGGGGCTCTTGGGTCTCTCCTCAAGCGTTTGTCCCCCAGCGTTCTCCCACCTCACTAAATAGAAGTCTACCATCCTAGTCATTTTTTTAAAATATTTTATTTTTAAGTAATCTCTATACCCAATGTGGGGCTTGAACTCACAACCCTGAGATTAAAATTCACATGCTCCACCAACTGAGCTAGCCAGGTGCTCCAGTCCATCCTCCTAGTCATTTAAGCCAACGCCTGAGAATCGATGTGTTTGGCCAAGCATAGGGGGATCCTGGGGAGGCCTGCCCGGAATCCCCTAGATTTTTTTTAGGATGAAGAAAGTCATTCTGGATCCCTCCCTCTCCCTAACTCCACACATCTAATCCATGAATTGAATCTGTCTCCTAAATTGATCTGTTTTGTGTCCTTTTTCTCTTTTACCTCAGACAGACCCAATCAAGTCACCATCTTCTCTTATTTGGATGCCTGCAATGGCCTCCTCTTCCAGTCCATCCCAGTTTCTTTACAGTAGCCAGAACAACTGTTTAAGAATGTAAATCTGGGGGCACCGTCGTTGGGTGTCTGCCTTCAGTTCAGGTCATGATCCCAAGGTCCTGGGATCGAGCCCCGCCTGGGGCTCCCTGCTCAGCAGGGAGCCTGCTTCTCCCTCTCCCACACCCCCTGCTTGTGTTCCCTCTTTCACTGTGTCTCTCTCTGTCAAAATAAATAAAATCTTAAAAAAAAAAAAAAGAATATAAATCTGATGAAGACTTTCTTAAAAGTTTTCCATTTTCCCTAGAAGGCCTTGCATGATCCAGCCCCTGCTCACCTCGTGCCATCTGACCAGTTCTCCAGCTGCAGCCGCGCTGGCCTCTCCTGGTTCCCAAACTTACCACACTGTGTCCCAGGCCACTTTTGTCCTGGTCTTGCCCTGCTGGCTTTCTCTCATATTTCAGGTCCCAGCTTAAAGGTCACCTCCCTGACCACTCTCTTCCCTACCCCAAGTTATTTTCTTTTTCTTTTTTTTGGTGTGATAAAATATACATAAAATTTACCATTTTCACCATTTTTTTCCATTTTAACCATGTTTAAGCGTACAGCTCAGTGTCGTTAAGCACACACACATTGTTGTGCACCCCCAAGTTCTCTCTTATGTCACCTTGCTGATCTTTCACTCAGCACCATCCGTAATGTTTCTTTGCTGCTACAATGTAAGCTCCATGAGAACAAGGAGAGGGTTAGTCTCCTCTTTCCTTGCTACACCTGGCCCAACGCCAAGCACTGTAAATAGGCACTCAATAAATATTTGTGGGACAGATGAATAAATGCTGCCATGTATTGAGTACTTACTGTGTGCTTGGCACTGCAAAGTCCATTACAAACATTTCATTCAGGGTTTTTTGTTTGTTTTAAGATTTTATTTATTTATTTAACAGAGAGATAGTGAGAGAGGGAACACAAGCAGGGGGAGTGGGAGAGGGAGAAGCAGGCTTCCCGCCGAGCAGAGAGTCCGATGCGGGACTCGATCCCAGGACCCTGGGATCAGGACCTGAGGCGAAGGCAGACGCTTAACGACTGAGCCACCCAGGTGCGCCCATTTCATTCCGTTTTGACAGCAGCCCTGAGAAGTACCATAGCATTCCCCTTTACAGAAGAGGCTACAGTGCAGAGAGGTCAAGGCTGCTGGCCAACCAGGGTCACAAAAGCTGGGGTGAGCAAGCCACAGCTCTAGCAGATGAATCCAGTTCCCTCTCATCCCAGAGAATGTGCATCTTTAGCATGGCAAGAGGGGTCTCAAAGAGGTGGGTTGGAGAGGAGGAGTCCCACTCCAAGAGAATAAAAGTTGGGTGACGTTCAGAACGGCCACCTCATCAGAGTCAGAACTGGGCCAGTCACAACCTGTAGAAGAAGCTCAGCCTACACAGGCGTGGAGGATTCTGAACCTTTGGCTACTTCCTTATCTTCAGTTCTTTGTTCTCCCCCAGGATAGTTAGCAGAAATGTGCTCAGAAAATCAGAGGCCTTTGGCCTTGTGTTCATTACCAGGCAGTGGGGAGCTGGAGAGGCTGATGCTCTAGAACCTGCTGGAAGGAGATGGGGAGGAGGTGCCGGTTAAGCCCACAGCTGAGCCTGAGAAGGGCTCTTGGAGTTCTTACTCCATTTATAGTCTTGGGTAGAGTCTCATCCCTTAGCTCCAAAATGGAGGAGAGCTGGGTTAGATTAGATTAGAGCTGTGCTCAAGCATTGCCTGGGGTAGGCTCTAGAATGTATAGTTTACAGCATTAGCTCATTTAATCCTACATAACAAAGATGTAGGTACAATTATTATCCCTGTTTTACTGAGGAAGAAACTGACTCATGACGAGGTTACGTAATTCTGCCCAAGGTCAAGCAGCTAGAAAGTAGCTGAGCCCAGATTCTGGCCTTGAGGCTCTCCACGGGCACAGGCTATCCCACTTCTACATCAGGGTAGCTCTCAAGGGCCCTGACCCCTGCCAGCCATTCCAGAACGTGTGCAGTCCGGATGGGAGAGCCCCAGGCTTAGGCAGTTTCACAACCTTAAAGACCAGGGCTCAATAAAGATTTATTTCCGGGGCTGGGTATGTGGAGGAAGAAGGCTTTGGACACAGTTTGGGCTGGATTGGAATTGAGAGAGCTGGGGAGAATGTCTCTGTTCCCAGCAGCCTTGAGGAAGACAGGGAGACCGTTGTGGGGCAGCAGCAACCGAATGAGGGAGCCGTTTGGGGCTGAAGCCCTCAGCTGTCCTGGATGGTGCTAGGTCCAAGAACCTTTCTTGTCACCCACAAGTGGATTCCTTTCCCCTATTTGTAACACCTGGTGAGTATATACAGTGTTTATTTATTAACTGGACTGTTTAGGAAAGCCCGTGTCTTCCTAGGAGTGGCACTTTTAGATCAGAGGGCACAGATGGTCTGGTTCGGTTTTCTATAATGAGAATAGCTTCTTTGGTTTTTTGTTTGGTTGGTTTTTCCTTTGCTCTGATAACAGTAGTGCTTTCCCAAAGTTATTAGTGGTTATCTCAGGGTTGAGGGGGAGCTGTGAGAGATACTTTACTTGATGTTGTTCTTCAAGGTTTTAATTTTTTATAATAAAATAAAAAATAGGGATGCTTGGCTGGCTCAGTCAGAAGAGCATGCAACTCTTGATCTCAAGGTCATGAGTTTGAGTTTCACAGGTGGAGAAATGACAAAAATATATAAATAAACCCTAAATAAATAAATAAAACATGTAAAGTTCTTTGTTAGATATCTTACATAATATAGGAAGGTACAAAAAAAAAATAAAAGTGTCCATAATCCCATTTTCCAGAGGTTACTAACCATTGTTAATAAATGTATTTCCTTCCACACAGTCTTCTACACCTATTTTTGCATGTGTATGCCTTTTTTTTATGGGATGATGGACTGTTTTTTCAAGCTGCTTGTATTATTTGGCAATGGTGAACATCTTCCTATTCAATAAACACATCTCTGAAAGCATCCTCTTAATGGCCTCATACTCTTCTATCCTGAATATACTGCATATTTTCTGGCCAGCCCCCTACCATGGAGCACATGGGTTGTTCTATTTTTTTTAATATTAGGAAGAATACAGTAGAGAATATTTATGGAACCTAATCTTTGGGTGTACCCATTATTCTGTTCTTGTTCTCCTCAGATAAATTCTGAGAAGTGGAATTGCCGGAATTCCTCTTACCATTTTTAGGGGTTTTGGTAAATGTTGCCTAGTTAGAGCAGGAAAGTGATTGCCATTTCTTTTATTTTTTATTTTTTATTTTTTAAAGATTTTATTTATTTATTTGAGAGAGAGAATGAGATAGAGAGCATGAGAAGGGGGAGGGTCAGAGGGTGAAGCAGACTCCCTGCAGAACAGGGAGCCCGGTGCGGGACTCAGTCCCGGGACTCCGGGATCATGACCTGAGCCAAAGGCAGTGGCTTAACCAACTGAGCCACCCAGGCGCCCCAAGTGATAGCCATTTCTGAAACGGAATATTTGCCTCGGTTTTTCAGGAAAGGAAGATGCCACCCAAACGTATAGCTAAGAGAAGGTCACCCCCAGAAGATGCTCTCCCCAAAAGCAAGAAGGTGAAGGGTAAGTTGGCGTTGGCCTCTATCTCTGAATGGGGGCCCTCTTGGAGCCCCCAGAATCTAGGACTGGGCTCCTGCCTCCCTGACATCTGAAGCTGAGGGGCCTGGAAGCCCAGGAGCTCCACCCAGATGCAGGGTCTCCACCCAGATGCAGGGTCTCTTGTAGCTTACTGAATCCCACCCTCTGTAAGTCATAAAGGAGGAGACTTGTCTACAAGCACTCAGGCAGTACTGGCAAAAAAACAAACAAACAAACAAAAACCAAGACCCTAGCTAGGACTTTGCTCCAGGCAGTAATGTATTATGGCTAGGACCACTGACTTCCAGAAGTGGGTTCAAGTCCAGGCTCTGCCACTTTCTAGCCGTGTAACTTTCGGCACATGACTTAACGTCGCTGAGCTTGAATTTACCCCATTAATGAAACAGAGGCAAGAACAGCACCAATCTCGCTGGGCTGTTAAGAGGAAAATGAGATCTGTCCTGGTAGCATTTGAAGGAGGTAGCTGTGCTTTGCTCTTTCCTGGGACCCTGGAGGGAGATGGGAAGGAGAGAAATCCACCCCCAATCTGGGAGGGAATAGTGTGGACCGATGCTCAGATAGTGTCTGTCTTTTGCAGACCGTCGTAACCAGGCAGTGAGGGCTGTTGCCTCCCATCGCGTTCCAGGTGCCCAGAGGCCGAGCCCTCCTGACCAGAAAACCCGACCAGGTGGCTCCCTGCCCAGGGCACCCTCTGCGCAGCCGTAGCGCCCCGGCAGCCGTGGCCACACCCCCGGGGGGAGGAGCTGGACACCATTGGCTGTCCGGGGCCATGGGCAGCCACCATTGGCCAGCAGATGGCCCTGTGCCTTCCACTGGTTGGCTTGTACTTTTCTACAAATGCCTGTCTTCTGTCTTAACTCCTGCCCCTTCCTCTTCAGGGGCGGGTCAGCTGCGGAAGGGTTCCGTGGGAATATGTGTAGGAGTGAAGTCGCAGCCTGAGGGTGGAGGCTAGGGACAGTGCTCTGACCCATGTAGGTTCCTTTGGTTTCAGTGCAAACTTTACTGTTTATTAGCTTCGTGACCCTGGGAGGGTTACTTAACCTCTCTGAGCCTCTGTTTCCTTTCCTGTAAAACAGGAGCCTAAATACGGAAGGTCTGTAGTATAATTTAGGGGACTACAAAGCAATTTAACATTTGTAGAATAAGCAGCCAGTAAAGGGTGGACATTATCTGAGTCCTCACTGTTGGCAACATGACTCCTGAGAACTCAGAGCTATTCAGGAAAATCATCTGTATCCTCACTGTTCCCTTCCCCTCCCCACCAAGATTCGTTTCACAATGTTGATTGTCCCTCATATTAATAACGTGCTCAGTTTTTTGTGTTTTTTTTAAGATTTTATTTATTTATTTGAGAGAGAACACATGAGAGGGGATAGGGTCAGAGGGCAAAGCAGACTCCCCACCGAGCAGGGAGCCCGATGCGGGACTCGATCCAGGGACTCCGGGATCATGACCTGAGCCAAAGGCAGTCGCTTAACCAACTGAGCCACCGAGGCGCCCCACGTGCTCAGGTTTTAATTTTCACAAAAATCTTGTGACATAGTTATCTTTGCTATTCACATTTTACAGATGAGGAGACTTAGGCTTCCTAGAAAGATCCTATGACTGATCTGTGGCAGAGCAGGGGCTTGAACCCAGGTCTGTGTGGTCCCAGAGCCCATGCAGTGACCCCTCCTCTCTTCTGTCATCCTGCACACTCAAGGGCTGTCTTCTTCACCCCTCAGTCTCCCACAGGTCCCACAGCACAGAACCAGGCATGGTGCTAACACTGGGCCAGGGCGACGTGGGCCAGTTGGGGCTAGGCGAGAATGTGATGGAGAGGAAGAAGCCGGCCCTGGTGCCCATTCCAGAGGACATCGTGCAAGCCGAGGCTGGGGGCATGCATACTGTGTGTCTAAGCAAAAGCGGCCAGGTAGGTTGGGGTGGGTGGCACAGGACTGGACAGGGCCTAGGGTTGGGGGGCTTGGGGAAGGAGCTTTGAGCCACACACATCACTCTGTGGAGATGGAGCTGGTTAGCTGCACAGGGAGTGCAAGAATGGACTGAAGCCAGACCTTGCGCTAATGGGGGCATCTTGGGCACAGGTCTACTCCTTCGGCTGCAACGATGAGGGTGCCCTGGGAAGGGACACATCAGTGGAGGGCTCAGAGATGGTCCCCGGGAAAGTGGAACTGCAAGAGAAAGTGGTACAGGTGTCAGCAGGAGACAGTCATACAGCAGCCCTCACTGAGGATGGTCGCGTTTTCCTCTGGGGCTCCTTCCGGGTAAGACTGGGTCTGGAAGACCGCATGAGGGCTGGCTGGCTGGAAGAATTCACTGGTGAGACCCCAGTGATAATCCATCTCCACCTCCCAGTTGTACTTAATGGTGGGGAAATCAAGGCCCAGAGGCAGAGCTTGGGCCCAGACGCAGGTCTCTTCATCCAGGCCTGTCCACACCATGGGCTCCTTCCTTTTGAGTCCATATTATGAAGTGTGTTATCTTGGGAAAGGGGTGGGTCAAGGATGCCTTTGGGCTGAGACTGACTCAGGAAGCCTGCTCTCCTCACCCATCTCCCTGCCTTCAACCTCCCCGCTTCCCAGCTCTCTTCTACATCTGTCAGGGGTTTTGGGGTGCATGAGAAGGATTGTCACATCTCAGAATTTCTGAGGCAAGGGAGTTTAAACAGTAGAGTCAGCATTAAAATTGTCTTGGTACTTTGGTATTTATTTTGAAATGTCAAAAATAAAGGAATCTGATGAGGTGTGTCCTCATCATGGCTGTTTTTAAAGCTACTTATGGAGAATTTCAAGCACATAAAAGTAATCAGAAAAACATATTGAATACCCATTTACTCGCCTCCACAGTCATCAGCTTGTGGCCAAACTTGTTTCCTCTCTGCTCCCGTCCATTACCCTACTTCTTTGTTATTTTAATGCAAATCACAAGCCACATATGATTTCATTCATTAAGTGTTTCACTGTTTGTCCTGGCTCCTGCCCACCTCTTCATCCCCATCTGGCACCAGTCCCCTTCGCCATACGGCTCCATGGTTGCCGCAAGCCTGGATCTGGCTGGTCTGGGGCAGACAGGACTGGCCGGTAAGTGCCCTGCCCTGCCTTCCAGGACAATAACGGTGTGATTGGACTCTTGGAACCCATGAAGAAGAGCATGGTGCCCGTGCAAGTGCAGCTGACTATGCCCGTAGTGAAGGTGGCCTCAGGTGAGCCTGGGGGCACTCTAGGCAGGAGTTGGAGAAGCTCGTTCTGGGGCTATCCTAGTCTTGGGCCGTTCAGACAAGCCCTGTATCCTCTGCCTTCCTCTCGCCCGCAGGAAATGACCACTTGGTGATGCTGACAGCTGATGGTGACCTCTACACTTTGGGCTGCGGGGAGCAGGGCCAGCTGGGCCGTGTGCCTGAATTATTTGCCAACCGTGGTGGCCGGCAGGGCCTTGGTAGGTGGCTTAGGTCACTCCGGCAGGGCAGAGCAACTTGGCAAGCCACCCCCTGGTGAAGGTCAGAAGCAGGAGGGATTCTCTGTGTGAGTTTAGGCTTGCATCAGCTAGGCCTGTGGTGATAGGTAAGAACTCTGACTCTAGAGCCAGACCACCCTGGATTTGAATCCTGCTTCTACTACCTATTGGCTGTGGGACCCTGGACGTAGTTTTCTCATCTCTAAACTTACTTCATTGAGTTGTGGTTGAAGTGAAATGGAGTTAACATAGAAGAATGTTTGGCACATGGTAAGTTCCGTGTAAATGTTACCTTTTACAACTCTGGGAGTCTGAGTGAGGCACTTGTACTCTCTTGGCCTGTTTCTTCTTCTTTTTAATAGGGAAAAGGAAGAAAAATCCCTGCTTAGCTTTCCTCCAGGGGCTATAGTGATGGGAAAAAACACACAGGACAGAGAGAGAAGCTGTGTGTGTCTGCCACTGACCCTGGCCTCCTCTCTGCTACAGAACGACTCCTGGTCCCCAAGTGTGTGATGCTGAAATCCAGAGGGAGCCGGGGTCATGTGAGATTCCAGGACGCCTTTTGTGGTGCCTATTTCACCTTTGCCATCTCCTGCGAGGGCCATGTATATGGTTTCGGCCTCTCCAACTATCATCAGCTTGGTGAGTCCCAAGCCCAACATCTGGCATAGCCCAGAGTGACTTGGATCCAATCCTGGCTTCACCACTCATTTGTTGGGCACCCTTGTTGGGGTCTGCTAACCCCTCAGAGCCATAGTTCTGTTATCTGTAAACTGAGAATATCCTTACCTTGGTGTTTGTGGCGGGGGGAGGTGGCCTCATGTGTGAGAGGATGAAGGACAGCTCCTTGGACAGCTTCACCGCTAAAACTCTATTCTGGCATTTTCCTCCCAGGAACCCCAGGCACAGAATCTTGCTTTGTACCCCAAAACTTGACATCCTTCAAGAACTCTACCAAGTCCTGGGTGGGCTTCTCTGGTGGCCAGCATCATACAGTCTGCATGGATTCGGAAGGTGGGACCTGTGGGTTGGGGGTGGAGTATTCCTTGGGCATAGCCTAGCCAGACTCCTGAGACCATGGTCCTTGGAACCTGGGCCTGCTCCATGGGTTGGGCCAGATGTGGGTCCATGAGGGCCATTCCCATCCCTCAGAGTCTTGGCACTCTTCCAAGTATGAGCTCAGTGGGGTCCTATGGGGGTTCTCCCAGACCTCCCCCAAAACTGGGACAGATGCTGCAGACCTGCTTCTCACCACCCTGGGAGTGGGCACCAGCTCCCTTGGATTTGGGAACTCATCTGACCTACCTGGAGCATGCCCTCTGCTACTCTTCATCTCCTCCCTCCTCCCACAGGAAAAGCGTACAGCCTGGGCCGGGCTGAGTATGGGCGGCTGGGCCTTGGGGAGGGCGCCGAGGAGAAAAGCATACCTACCCTCATCCCAAGGCTCCCTGCTGTCTCCTCAGTGGCTTGTGGGGCCTCCGTTGGGTATGCTGTGACCAAGGATGGTGAGTTGGGGCTGCCCACACTTGGTGTGGTTGGGTCTTGGGGGTCATGATTCTTACCAAACTGCTCGTCAGGCTGTGATGTCCATCATCAAATAGAGCTGAGATGCAGAGAGCACTGTTTGTGATGACATTGCTTTTCTCCTGTCAGAAGCTCTGGCTTTGATGAACACAAAATGAGTAAACGTATTATTTTAAGAAGGGTTATTTGTTTCGTAGCATAGAAAAATAGTAAAGAGAGACACATCACTGAGGCCCAGACAGGCAGTAGGACTTGAATCCAGGTCTCCAGAGTCTTTTTTTTTTTTTAAGATTTTATTTATTTACTTGACAGAGACAGCAAGAGAGGGAACACAAGCAGGGGGAGTGCGAGAGGGAAAAGCAGGCTTCCCGCCGAGCAGGGAGCCCAATGCGGGGCTTGATCCCAGGACCCTGGGATCATGACCTGAGCCAAAGCAGACGCTTAACAACTGAGCCACCCAGGCACCCCCAGGTCTCCAGAGTCTTAGCTCAGTCTTCTCTTTACACTTCCCACCAAGGTGACCCCTTTTATTTACAACCTAGTATGTGCCAGCTTCCCAGGGAGCTGTACTTAGACTTTTATTAGGAGAAAGAAAGCTTAGTCACTGGGGTTCCAGCAGGCACAGCAGAGGAGGCTCTGAACCAGGTGGTCACCAAAGCCTGAGTGGGTGAGATCGATAGCCATGGACACCTTGAGAAGTCTGGAGCTGATGGAAGCACTTGACTGAAATTATCTGGGAAGAGTTACTGGGAAAGTAGAGCTTGTACTACACCTTAAAGGTTCAGTCTTTTATGATAAGCAATGAAGGGCATCCCAGGCACAGGAACATCTAGAGCAGTCTCAAAGGTCTCGAAGGTCCTTGGAATGGAGGGTGGTGTAGGGTTTTGGGGAGTGGCCAGTCATGTAGAGCCTTGAATGCCATGCCTAGGAGTAGAGAGAAGTCTTTGGCAATGTATAAGGGGTGTGGTCTCTGGTTGACAAAACTATTTTTTTAATCCATCATCTCCTTGGCTTCTCCCAGCTTCCCTGAACTCCCAGAGGCTGGGACATTGCTAGGCTGCTACAGGCCAAAGCCAGAATTCACCCTCATGTTCTAGGCTTCTCACGGTTTAGAAAGGTGGGGCTAGGGATCCTGGAGACAGCTGTCCCCATTTCTCTCCCCTGTAGGTCGTGTTTTCGCCTGGGGCATGGGTACCAACTACCAGCTGGGCACAGGGCAGGAGGAGGATGCCTGGAGCCCGGTGGAGATGACAGGCAAACAGCTGGAGAACCGTGTGGTCTTATCGGTGTCCAGTGGGGGCCAGCACACAGTCTTACTAGTCAAGGACAAGGAACAGAGCTGATGAAGCCTCTGCGGGCCTGGCTCCTGGCCCTGCCACCCTCCCTCCTGGAACTGGGAAGCTATGACAACTACAGATTCCAGCAGGCCTCCCCCAGCCCCGAATACTCTGTCATCTCCTGCCTTTTTCCTATCAGCAGAACAGAATCCTTTTCCTCTTTTCTGTCCTCCTTTCCTGAATCATCCTGCAACCTACAAGATGAAGGGGAGTGGGGGGAAATGGAAGAGGGGAGGGGGTTTTGGCAGCCGGAACATTGCTCACCCCAGAGCTATGTGGTTAGACCTTTCCCCCTCATCCCTACCTCCATGGTCCTGGCTGACCCTGGTTTTGCCTGCCAAAAACCAAAAATTCCTCCCCTGGGGATTTGGTGCCCACATTCTGAAAAGTTGGGGATCCTCAAGCCCTACTCTAGCCATGTGCCACTCTCTGTCCTTCACAATCCACAGGCAGACAAATGGTATGGTGGTCAGACCCAGCTGTCATGGACCTATGCCTGGGGGAAACCGGAGATGGGGCAGGGCTGCCCAGCCATGGGCAACCCCAAGCCAAATATTTGGCCCTCAACAGATGTCCATGGGGAAGAATAAACAATGATCCTCCACTTGATCAAGAAAAAAGCCAATCAGCCTTTCTCCCAGAAGCACAAAGCATTCTGCCCTTCAGGCATTGCCTGAGTATCCTGCCCATCCGACCTGCCTTACCTGTAGCCAAGGGCCTGACGTCTGGAAAGGAAGCTACATCTGCAGGGCAGGACATGGAGGGAGTGGGGAAGGAGAGTTTTATAAACAAACTTATAGCAATATTGAGAGTGAAGGGAGGGAGGGGAGGGGGGTCAGAAGGGCAGAGGCTGGTGCCCAGAAAGGGAAGCAGCAGCTTGTACAGTGGCTGAGAAAATAGAAAACAGTTTTGATTTTTTTTAAATATAAAGTATTTTGGAGGGGAGAGTGAAATCTTTTAACACTTTGAATAAATTTAGAGTTTTATAAAACAGGTCACTTGTTTTCTACATACTCCCTGCTTTTTTAAGGGAGCACCTGTCGTGTTGGCAAGAGCAGAATAAACCCATACCTATGCACCTGGTCAAGGCTAGGACTTAAGTGATGTCGCGATGTCCTGGTATGTGCCAGTCAGCTGTTGATGTAACTGTTTCATACAAATCAAAAAAGAGAAAAAGTTATTGATTTTTGCTTAGGTATTTATGTTTCAGGAATCAGTGGATTTAAAAAAAAAAACAAACTATGCTGCATAATGTGAGACATGGAATGGATCTTTTAATATCCTAATCCCAAACCAAGATTTGAGTACAGTACATATCTACAAATACACTAAGCTTGCTGTTATATCATTCTCAGCAGCTGATGTAATTGATTAAACATGGTTAACTGCATAATAACTCTTAAGACTACTTACTACGAGTATTAATGTAGATCTTCCCAGGCACTTGAGCAACCAAATCATACAGCTGACCTGTCTACGATGGTGGTCGCTAGCTACATGTGGCTATTTACATTTAAATAAATTACAACTTGTAAAAATTTAAAATTAATTTCCTTGGTTGCACTAGCCACATTTCAAGTCCTCAGTAGTCCTGTATGGCTGGTGCCTGTGGTATTGGGCTATGCAAACATAGAACGTTTCTATAATTGCAGGAAGTTACAGTGGACAGTGCTGATCTAGAAGGTCTTTACATGTATAACAGGAAGTTTTTATTATCACCAAAAGGATTCGTCTTGGATGTCCGTGACTTGGAAAAATGAATATGACGTAAAAGAACTTCAAATGTATTCTGTGATTTTTTCCCCCCTTAAGTTTTAGTTTTGATACAGGCAATATACTGACTGGAAATTGACTTCTTAGAAGGGACACCACACTTTTGATTCTAATATTTTCTTTGTAAAGAAGCACTTGTGTGTGTGCTGCTCCTCCTCACTCCCCCCAGAAAAGTCCATTTGGTTTAGACTTACTGGAGTTTTCCGTTCTGACAGGATAGCATGATGAAAATACCCTGTTCTTAATAACAGCTCTTCTGTATTGGGACTTAAAATGGGCCAGGCATTGTGCTGAACACTTTACATGCAATAATAGCTCTTTCAATCCTTACATCAGCCCTGCAAAAACTTGTCCCTCGGGAAACAGTCCCTGAGAGTTGTGACTTGCTTAAGGTCAAGAAGCTACCTACCAAATGCACGAACTAGGCTGGAATCTAATCAGCCTCTTGCTGAGCCGAGAACGTCAATTCCTTTTCCTTGTGTTGCACGTAAGTGTTATAAAGCTCTCTGTAGGTGCTTTACATATATGAGAACAGTGTCAGGCACATAATACTCTATAATATGCTCTTTGCTGTTACGACAATTGTACGTTTTTTTCTGTTCCCTATAGTTAATAATTGTCCTGTTTTTCACATGCATAGTTTTTTGGTGTTAGGTATTAATTTAGCGCCAAAATCTTAAAGTGTAAATTTCCTTTTGTTCAAACACATTGAGTACTCTGTTTTATCTTTTCCCCCATCCTCCTGCAACCTGGATTGATTACCCCAAAACAAATGTAATCATAGTACATAATGTGGCTCTGCTATAAATATTTACAAAGTTGTAATGTAAATGTTCAATATTGCTTTGACAGACATTATATTTTATTTATTTTTTTGCCTGCTGTGGGGTTTGAACTCACATCCCTCCCCCCTCCCCAAGATCAAGAGTGTCACGCTCTATTGACTGAGCCAGCCAGGTGCTCCTGCTTTGCGAGAAATTATAGTCAGAAGATATAGTCGAAGATGGAGAAGTGTGTATGTATGAATGAAGGACAGTCTCTAAATGAGAAAGTACATTATTTAGAAATGTGCAGATTATAGGGAGATACAGAAACTTGCCTCAAGGGACTGAGAATTGGGGGTAGGGATAGGGTAAGGGACTGCTGTGTATTGTTTATTTCATAAAATCAACAAATATTTTCTCAGTGCCTACCTTATCCCAGACGTTGTTGTAGGAATTTGATTAGAAACAAAACACAAGAATCCCTGTCTCATGAAGCTTGCATTCTAAATTAAAAGCAAACATTTAAAAATCTTCCACCTGTAGAAAGTAAAGAGCACTGCAGAGGGGCTGGCAAATAGTACCAAATAAACAGCTCTCTGCTATAATTTGAAGGCCTCCAAATACCGTGTTGGAGAATTTACTGGATGCCAGGCATTGGGCCAAGTACTTTCCCAACTTCTCATTTTCTCTTCACAACACCCTATGTGGTAAGCACTGCTGTTATCCATATTAGTCTCAGGTTAAGTAACTTGCCAAAATAATTAGTGAGAGGAGGCTGGGATTGATAGCCAAAGCGCCCAGCCACTACACTTGCTATTACAGTAAGTAGGATAAACCTGGAAATGTGGCAGCTAGTGGCTGGATCTCGTTTTCAGACTGGTAAGCGCTTGACTTGGGGGCCCAACGCCCTAAACTGAGGAGATGTATAAACTGGTAAAGAAGGGCCTTAGTGGCTTATCAGCCCAGAGGGAGCCCCAGAAGGGGATCCTCAAGCACTTGGGGTGAGCTTCACTGTTAGAGTTGATGATCACTTACAAAAAAGCTCCCCATTCTGAGAAATGGGCGCCAGAGTGAGGCTTTGGCCTCGGACACTCCCGGACTAGGAGAATTAAATTGTCGGGATTATCTAGTCATAGTAATGGGTGTTCACTGAGGGCCTTCCCTGGACCGGTAATTGTTCTGGGACAAGTTAGAGCTGGCGCTTTGGGTTAGGGTAGTGGATATGGGACTCCCGAAAGAATGACAAGACTTGGGGATTATTTGGTTGAGATGGCAGGGTTGACCCAATTTACACTCCCTGTAACCCGCCGCCCCCTCTTTTCACCCTAGGGCTATCTACAGGCATGATGGAAGAATCCCATCCAACTTCAACAAAAATCCCACGTCTCGCAAACTGGGAAGCAGGGTGAGGGGGTGGCTGGGGCAGACCTGTGGTTTGCCCCAAGGTCACACAGTGGAACTGGATCGTCTGGGCTCCCAAAGGGACTTTTTAGTTTCCTAAAAAGTGTGCTTTTATTTGCAGGGTTTTTGGTTGATTTGTTTTGTTTTGTTTTTTACAATGAGCATAATTAGTTTTGTAATTTTAAATGTACTTGTGTGTTGGAACCCACGGTCAGAAAGAAACCCGAGAAAACCAGTCACCCGAGCAACCCCCGCGAGGGCGTAGCGCCTGCTCCGCCCCCGCCCGCGGACTCCGGCTGAGCTCCGCCCTCGGGGATCCAGGAACTCAGCGCCCGCCAGCCGGGTCGTCGGGAAAACCCGGAGCGGCCAATCCCGGCGCGGCCCTGGGCGCTGCGTGCGCAGAAGACGTCGGAGGCGCATGCTCTCTGGCGGTCCCGGCCCCGCGGACTGGCGCCGGCGCTGGCCTCCTTGGCCCGCGGACTCCTGGGCCGGCTGCGGGCATGGCGGCCAGTCTGTGGATGGGCGACGTGAGTGAGGGCAGCTGCCCCGGTCCGAGGAGGACGAATCTTAGCGTCACGGGGGAGGACGAGTCTGAAGGGGAAGGGTCCTCGAATCCCAAAAGGGTGGAAGTGAATGGGGAGAGGAGTTCTTTGGGTGAAACAGGCGGGTCCCAGAATTTAGGTGAAGAGACCGAGTCTGAGGATGGGGGTTCCCGGCCCCCCGCCTGCGTTCATGGAAGGGAAAGGGAAGTTCTTTAGGGGGATAGAATGGCTGGAATCCCAAGGATTGAAGGGCGCTGTGGCTCGAGGACTGGAGGGATAGGGTTACTAGATCCAAGGAGGAAGCTCCCTAAAGGGAGCAAGTTTGAAGGGAAGGGAGGCAAAGGATTGAAAACGTGGGAGGTGGGATTCAGGCCACTGTAGATGAAAATCTCCACTCGCCTCATCCCCGCCCCCACCAGCAGCGTGTAGCCAACCCTGGGTGGGCTCTGGAACCGGGAATGAGGAGCCTGGATGCCCCCTGAATGTATTGCTCTTGTATTTACGCAGCTGGAGCCGTACATGGATGAGAATTTCATCTCCAGAGCCTTTGCCACCATGGGGGAGACCGTGATGAGCGTCAAAATTATCCGAAACCGCCTCACTGGGTACATTTTCTCCTTCCATCTTTTCAATTCTCCTTTAATAGACCGTGCTGCCAGTGTCATTCTCGAGAATGTAAACATCGAAAAGTCAGGGCTTCTCACCCCTAATAATAGTTAACATAATGTTATAAACGCTAACATTTGGGGGCTTATTGAGAGGAAGTATAGCATATTGTTAAGGACTGGACTCTGGAGCCAGACTGAAAGTTAGGTTTACTGTGTGACCTTGGGCAAATTACTAAACCTCTCCATTTCCATCTCACCGTGACTATGAAAATGGAGATGATAACACCATATCCTTCATAGAGTTATGGTGAGGATTAAATGAGTTAATTCACATTCAGCATTTAGAACAGTCTAGCCTATGGCATTTGGTCAATGAATATAAACAGATTATGATCTGCTAGGTAGTAAGCACTTCAAAATCCTTTTTTGAGGGGGCACCTGGGTGGCTCAGTCGTTAAGCCTGGACTCTTGATTTTGGTTCAGGTCATGATTTCAGGGTCCTGGGGTCGAGCCTGCAGCGGGACTCTGCGTTGGGTGTGGAGCCTGCTTAAGATTCTCTCTCTCTCGGGGCACCTGGGTGGCTGAGTCCGTTAAGCATCTGCTTTCAGCTCAGGTCATGATCTCAGGGTCTTGGGATCAGGGCTCCCTGCTCAGTGGGGAGTCTGCTTCTCCCTCTCCCTCTGCCCCTCCTGGTCTCCAAAAAAATAAAAATAGAAATAATCTATTAAGATTCTATTTTTTTAGATTTATTTATCCAATGCAGAGCTCGATCGTAGAACCCTGAGATCATGACCTGAGCTGAAGTCGAGTCAGATGCTTAACCGACTGAGGCACCCGAGTGCCCCAATAAATAAATCTTAAAAAAAAAAAAGGGATTTTATTTTTAAGTAATCTTCACACCCAATGTGGGGCTCAGACTTAGAACCCCAAGATCAAGAGTCACATGCTTCTTGGACTGAGCCAGCCAGGTGCCCCTAAAATAATTTTTTAAATTACAAAAACGTCTGAGCTAAGTATTATTATTAGGGAAGCTTCATAATTGTCTTAAAGTTTACAGAGCTATTAAATGACAAGCCAGGACTCAGATCTGTTCTTAAAGTCATGAGTGCCCTTAACTTAAAAAGTTATTTATAGAAACAGTACCATGTGCTGTTGTTGTAGGTTCCTGGGATATGTGGCTGAAACAAACCAGGCATAGTCCCTCCTCATGGAGTTTACTACATTCTAATGGGGAAACAGCAGTAAATATGTAAACAAAACAAAATGCAGAGAATATTTTGAGATAGTGGTGCTATGTTGCCTGCACATTCTTCCTTCTCTTGAGGGGTCTCACTTTTCCTTAGAGTTCTAATTAGAAAAAAGAGGATTCTCTTATCATTTTGACAATGTTTACTGAGCAGGTACTCTGCCAGGTACACTACCAGAGCAGCTTGCTGAAACATCAAATGGTTGAAAAATATAGATGAGAGATGAAGTGTGGTCAGTTCTGGCTGTTTGGTTGACAGGTACTTTGTGTATTCAGAATCCCAGTACCTATTACTGAAACCCAAGTATGGCTGCCTGTAGAGAGAGGCCAATATTCTAGAGATGAGGTGGGTTTTTTTTTTTTTTTCTCTTGCCCCCCCCCACCCCCACCCAAGAGACGAGTTTTGATTGGAAGGGAATATGAGCTTTATTCAGGAGGCCGGCTACCTGGAGAGAAGGTGGACTCTTGTCCAAAAGCCAACTCCAAGGTTTCTCCTGACCCAGAAATTTTTAAAGTGATTTAGGGCAGTTAATTAGTTAAGGGAATGCAGTGGTCTATGACAACTTTTGACTACGTGCAGTCTCGATGGTGCCAGCTACAGATGTTATCATGGTGGTTGAAGGTATTGCAGTGGGGTCTGGTTCCTTGGTGGGGGGGTAGGGTGGTGTTGTGCAAGAGGGTTTGGTTTCTTGGTGCCCCGGGTGGTGCAGGAGAGCCCGGTGACATGTAGAAGTGCTCTGTTCTTTCTAGGAAAGAATGCATGATCCATAAATGTACACAGGTTTAGTTAATCAGTCAGGTGGGTTAAGGGTGCTTGCTAAAACTTAAAAGACTAGGTTGGCCAGAGGGGCCAAGGCAGTTTCATACCTAGGAACAGTTTGTTTTTGTTTTTTGTTTTTGTTTTTTGTCTTTCAACCATTTTATGAAATGAGAAAAGACCAAGGTAGCCACGAGGCCATTCACATACAGGTATGCAGTGTGGATGAGGAAGGGACAGAGGAAAAACCAGCACGATGCCAGGTGATCACTGGGAACCAACTTCCCCAAAGCTCCTAACAGCAGAACACTCTAGACAGGAGCATATTTATATAGGTCCTACAGAAATAGACTTGGTTCCATGCCTGTTCTCTGCAATTGGCCTGTCTCTGTAGGCTTTTTTGTATCAAATGGAGTAGAGGTTTTCAGTGACCCTGAGGCAGGCATAGAGAACTCATTGCCGGTCCCTGCCCAGCTCCTGGGATGCCAGGACGTGACAGGTGGAAAGGGAGAAGCAACTGTACAGCCTGGAAAAAAATACAGTGAGCACAGTGGACCACGGAGGGGCTCCCCAGGTCCTGCTACATGAGGCCATTAACACACCTTGACTCTGAGCCTGATAAACAGTCTCAGAAAGGACCCTGTGCCCATACGTGAAATGTTTCTCGGGGAGAACAGCCCCCACCCCCTGGACACACTAGTCCACGGGGCCCTCAGTTTTCATTCTGAGGTCTGGGAGCTGCAGCCCAGAACAGGGATGAAGAATTGCACCAGCTACACTCAGGGCGAGCCAAGAGCCTTTCCCTGGGAGGCCGTGGCTCTGCTGCTCCCTCCTCTTCAACGTTGGTGCCTGCATCCCCCCAGCTGCCTACATGCTCTCTCCACTTGCTTTTTATTTGCACTGTATTCTAGGAACAGATTCTCTGGCAGGTAGATCATGCTAGCCTAAATATTTTTCTTCTTTTTGCTCTTGTAGACAGAAAACCCCAGATAATCAGCTACTAGTATGAAAACACATTCTGTAATACTTTCTACTTTATTGAAATAAAATTTGGAACTCTTTTCCTATCCGTGATTCCTAAACTCTGGCTATTTCTTATGTACTTACAAACACATTACATTTATGTCTTGCCTCATTTGACAGACTTTGGAGTGTCCTGTAAGAATACTGTAAAATAAATAAATGCAAATTTAAAAACCAAGACCAGAGAAAATAAGGGAAAAAAAATAAGACCCATGGAGAATAATGTGCAGCAGAGCATAGTGCTTAAGAATGCAGTCAGTGGTTGCACAATAATGTGAATATTCTTTTTTTTTAAGATTTTATTTATTAGAGAGGGAGACAGCGTGCGCGTGTAGGGAAGAGGGGCAGAGGGAGAAGCAGGCTCCCCGCTGAGCAGGGAGCCCGACTCGGGACTGGATCCCAGTACCCTGAGATCATGACCTGAGCCAAAATCAAGAGTCAGGTGCTTAACCAACTGTGCCACCCAGGCACCCTCAGAATATCTTTTATAGCTTTTCTTTTTTTATGTGTCTCTCTCTTTTTTTTTTCCCCATCTTAGGCGGGTCATGTGCCAAGGTTGTAACAGAGTTTAAGGGAGGTACATGTCACAACAGTATGAACACTCAATCATCACAGTAATGAAGTACAAAAGGATCATCTTCTGTCTGTTTTAAGCGTAGGAAAGCTCACCTCTTATCTTTTCTCGTGCCACTGACTTTTTAAAGAGGTAGGACTAAATTGTCTTACATAAGGTCCTACATTCTGGAATCTGGTTTTATTTGCTTCCTTGTGGTGGTGTTTTAGCTGTTCTGTCCCTAATATTCCCTATAAACTGGACATTAGATCTAAGGGTTTGATTGGATTGTATTAAATATTTTGGAGGGCGCCTGGGTGACTCAGTAAGTTAAGTGTCTGACTCTTGATTTTGGCTCACGTCATGATCTCGGTCGTGGGATTGCATCCTGAGTCAGGCTCGGTACTCAGCAGGGAACCTGCAGCTCTCCCTCTCTCTGCTCCTCCCCCTCTCTCTGCTCCTCCCCCTGCTTGTGTTCCCTCTCTCGCTCTCTGTCTTACTGTCAAATAAATAAATAAAATCGGGAGCACAAGCAGGGGGAGTGGGAGAGGGAGAAGCAGGCCTTCCGCGGAGCAGGGAGCCCGATGCGGGGCTCGATCCCAGGACCCCGGGATCATGACCCGAGCTGAAGGCAGACGCCCAACGGCTGAGCCACCCAGGCGCCCCTCAAATAAATAAATCTTAAATATTTTTGGCAAAAGTACTTCAAAGGTGCTACAGTACATAAATAAGTGTTTATCAGAGGAGTCTGGACTGGCCCAGATAGACAACCCTTATATTCAGGTTTGTAAGTTCTGAACTGGAATATGGCAGGGAACAAAAACAGGATGAGCTCTGATTAGAAAAACATTTTTCCCTCCCCTTAGGCCAAGGCTCAGTCTCATCTGGGAATCCCATCTTTAACCATTCTCTTTCTCTTGTTTGCTTTCTTTCCAGAATCCCAGCTGGCTACTGTTTTGTAGAATTTGCAGATTTGGCCACAGCCGAGAAGTGTTTGCATAAAATTAATGGGAAACCCCTGCCAGGAGCCACACCTGTAAGGACACTTGGATAATGATGATGTTCCCATTTTTATTGTCATCGATAACTATCATTCATTGAATCCCTACTGTATACTTACTCTGTTGAACCCTATAACAACCCTGCACAGTAGGCATCGTTATCTTTGGCAGCCCAGGAAACCGAAGCTCAGGGAGGTGGCGTAACTTGTCCGAGGCAGCGCAGGTAGTAACTAGCAGAGGCGGGACGCCAGCGGAAGATTGGTTGCCTCCAAAACCCATGCCCTTTGCACTCTGCACTGCTGCCTCCCTTCATGGAAGACTTGCAACTCTAGACCTCTTGCCTGATTGAGAAACTAGAACAGGCTGGCAGCAGTGAGGACACATTTCAAGAGAGTTACATTCTGCTCTTCCCACAGTTACTTAGCTTACAGCCGCACCAAGCTGGCACACCTGGGCTCATAGAACCATGGAGCTGGCAGTGCCCTTAGCGGTCATCCGTGCAACCCCCTCACTTTATACAGGAGAGAAAGCTGAGGCTTAGAGAGGGGGAGATGTTTTGGCCAAGGTAATTTATTTCAGTTTTTTTCAAATATTGTTTGACTCTTGAAACACCTTTCTCTGTTTTAGTTTGTTTGTTTTTAAATTTCTAGGCAAAACGTTTTAAACTGAACTATGCCACTTATGGGAAACAACCAGATAACAGGTAAGTGCAGGGTGGCCCCAAGGTAGCTTCAAGGCCCAGGAAATGTCTAGAGACAAGATGTGTCCCTGTGCTGGTCACCACCAAAGGGGTTGGGGAGCCCAGTTTGGTCCACTCCGCCTTCCTCCTGAGGGATGACTCCCTCCCCTCCCCTGCTGGTGGACCTGCCCAGTGTGCTTCTTGTCAAGACCCATGTCTTCTCTGTATTTGGTGCTGCCTCTGGCCTTCCACCCTGTTAGTACCTGCAGTACTGGAGTTTTATTCATAAGAATTGACCTGTTGTAGTGACATAAATTCATTGTTTCAGGGTGCCCTTCAAAAGCTTTAAAACAATGTATCAAGAGCTTTAAAAAGATTTGTACCCACTGACCCTGTAATTCTACTTCAGAATTTATACGTGGATGTATGCAAAGATTAGCTTCAAAAGTGTTTGTTGAAATATTACATATAATGGGGGAAATTGGGGAAAAACCCAAATAACCTACTAATAGAGAAGTAGCTTAAATGACAATATGTTCATTAATTGGAATACTATGTATCCATTTGTAAGTCATTTTGCAGCAGATGAGGACAGGTCAAGAAGTTGGTGATAAGTTAAAAGTGAAAAATGCTAGAAACAAAACAAGGGAGTCATACCCAAGTTTTGTAAATTTCAAAAAGGAAAGCCAGGGGTGCCTGGGTGGCTCAGTCGGTTAAGCGTCCAGCTCTTGATCTCAGCTCAATTCATGATCTCATGGTTGTGAGTTTGGGCCCCACATTGGGCTCCACGCTGGGGGTGGAGCCTACTTTCAAAAAGAAGAAAAAAGGGATATCTGGGTGGCTCAGTTGATTAAGTGTCTGCGTTCGGCTCAGGTCATGATCCCAGGGTCCTTGCTCAGTGGGGAGCCTGCTTCGCCCACTGCCTGCCACTCGACCTGCTTGTGCTCACTTTCTCTCTCTCTTTCTCTCTGACAAGTAAATAAATAAAATCTTAAACAAACAAACAAAAACACAAAGAAGCAAAGAAAAAAGACAAAAGTATATAACAGAGTGTTCATAGTGATTACCTTCGAGTGGTTGGGTTACTGGTAATTTTATTTTTCTTTGTCCTTTTGTGTATTCTGATTTAAACAAGGAATATGTATCATACTTGAACTAAGACTATAATAATGAGTCTGTTTGCTATTTTTTGTTAAATAATTTTTTCTAGAACAGAGGTTGACAAAATGTGACCTGACTTACATCACCTGTGAGCTAAAAATAAAAATGGTTTTTACACTTTTAAAGGATTGTGAAAACAGAAAAAGCAACAGAGACCATAGGTGCCCCACCAAGCTTAAAATTTTTACTATCTGGCCTTTTACAAAAAAAGTTTGCTGATCCATGTTCTAAAAGTTGGCAGATTTCATTTTAGCTCTGCTTTCAGTCTTAGGAGATAAGGTCCAGTTCTCATTCTCCATCTGCACCATTTGAATTAAAAATATGCAGTGAGGGCCTCCTGGCTAGCTTAGTCGGTAGGGCATGCGACTCTTGATCCTAGGGTCATGAGTTCGAGCCCCACATTGGGCGTAGAGATTACTTAAATATTTGCAGCGAATACAGAGTGTCTAGTTTTGTCTTTTGAGCACCTCCGACCAGGCCCCCCCATCTGCACTCCTGTAATATTTGAAGCCAGACAGGCTTTGTTCAGTGGATAAGGCGCTTGGGACAGGGGCTGCTTCCATAACTCTCTGCCAGGACTGCCAGGAGCAACAAGTTAGGACCTGGCTAAGGACCCATCAGACGTGCTGTTCCCCGGGAAGGCCCAGGAGAGGTTTACCTAGAATGGGCCAAAAGAGCTTGTTAGAACAAAGCTTTCGGTGTCTGTCTCTGAATCTTGTTCTCCCCTCTCAGCCCTGAATACTCCCTCTTTGTGGGGGACCTCACCCCAGATGTGGATGATGGCATGCTGTATGAATTCTTCGTCAAAGTCTACCCGTCCTGTCGGGGAGGCAAGGTGGTTTTGGACCAGACGGGCGTGTCAAAGTAAGGCCTTACCTGTGACTGATGCCCACCGTGTTCCAGCATTTGTCTCAAAGATGGGGGTGTTAGAGCGAGGCCATGTAGCATGGGAATGAAGAGCACGGGCTCTGGAGCCAGACTGTGGTGTGCATCCTGACTCGGGTACTGGCCCAACCTCTCACCTGATTATTTCCTCATTGGTACAACAGATGCTAATTAATAGTGTGCTCACAGGCCTGACCTAACGGTTATGTGATGTGCTATAAATAAAGCAGTAGGATATGCTGGGTAGGTGTTTGCCATTTTACCTATTATTGTTACTTCAAAGGTAGAAAAACCTCAAGAAAGGCTTATTTTTGATCAGAGTAATAGTTATAAGCACAAGTTTGAGTTACAAGCTCAAGACGTGGATTTGAATCCTGCTTCTACAATGATGTTGGGCAAGTTGCCTCTGAACTTGATTTCCCCCTCAGTAAAATGGGGACACTACCGTTATCTAATCATTGGGCAGTTTGACGAGATAATCCTAGGGAAATGCTCAGCACAGTGCCTGGGAGATAATAAGTGCTCACGAAATATTAGCTATCATTTGTTGATCCCGGAAGTAGGATATGAGTCCCGGGGCGCCTGGGTGGCTCAGTCGGTTAAGCGTCTGACTCTTGTTTTTGACGGACTTTTGGTTTTGGCTCAGGTCATGATCTCAGGGTCGTGAGATCGAGCCCCACGTGGGGCTCTGGGCTCAGTGCGGAGTCTGCTTGAGATTCTTTCCTCCTTCATCTCCTTCACCCTCTGCCCCTCCCCCCCACTCTCGCGCATACCTGTTCTCTCTCAAATAAATAAATAAATAAATAAGTAAAATCTTAAAAAAATGTATGAGTCCAACAGAGCAAGAACCTTGTCTGCTTGTGACTGCTGAGCCCCGTTGTCTAAACGTGATACCTGGTGTACAGGGCAGACGGGGTAAATGTTCGCTCAGGGAACCACAGCTGTTCCTACCACCACCACTGCCATGATGATGAGCATGGTAACAGGATTTCCAGTAGATTGGGAGGGAAGCCACTGGGAAGGAGCCCCATCAGTCAAGGCGTGGAGGGGATTCCTCGGCCCCAGGCTCCTGCCGAACTGGAGTTTCACATCGCTCGATGGCATGCCTCTACTGATGGGGCTCTCATCCCTTCCTGCAGAGCTGGACAGACTCTCCTTCTCTTCCATTCTTCGACTTCGCCTTCATCACGTTTGTGATCTAAATAAGGTATATGCTTTTGTTTTCTGCAGGGGCTATGGTTTTGTGAAATTCACGGATGAACTGGAACAGAAGCGAGCTCTGACCGAGTGCCAGGGAGCAGTCGGCCTGGGGTCTAAACCAGTGCGGCTGAGTGTGGCAATCCCCAAAGCGTGAGTCCTGCACTGGCGGGGAGGTACAGGGCCTCTGGATTGATGCCCACCTGGACGCTTCTCATCTGCTTGTTAATAATCAGAGCTTCCGCATGCCGGCTGGGAGACTGCAGGGAAGCCTGTTACTTGCCAGGCTGTGTGCTGGGCGTTGCAGATGAATGAGCATAACCTGCGCCTCCAGAAGCTTGTAGCTGGGGGAGAGCTCCGACCTGCGAAGGCAGATACATTCAGACATTGCTGGTTGTAGTACTGGGAAAGCGGTGTGTCCTGCATATTTAATGTTCCTGCTCTTTGCCCAGTAGTATCGCTGTTAGAAATTTACCCACAGAATTAATAAGAACTGAGCAGAAGAAAAAAAAGTATACTGAATTTTAGCTATGGGAATGGCTGAGAGTTAAAGATCCAAACACTACAGAATATTACATATATCACCATCCTACCTGTCATGCCAGGCAGAAAGCCCTTCTTCCCTTACAGCTCCAAGCAAGTTTCTCACCCAGAAGACAGCTACTGTCAGCATAGAATCTTCTGTCCTTTGGCCAAAGCAGTGGTTCTCAACTAGGGACAGTTTTATCCCGCAGGGGACATTGGCAACACCTGGAGATAATTTTGGGTGTCACAACTTGGGTGGGGAGGTGCTCTGGGCATCTAACGAGTGGAGTCCAGCAGTGGTACTAAGCATCCTACGCTGCCCAGGACGGCCCCCACACCAGACTTACCTGCCCTGCCCCCAGGTCAGTAATGCTGAGGTTGAGAAATTCCATGCCAGGCATAGGAGAGTGACTGCATTCTTAGGGCAGAACTTCCAGATAGCCAGGTTTTTCAAAGCAGCAAAAGATTTGGAGGTTCTTTGCTGCTTAACTGTGTTTAATACATGGAAGATTAGCCTGTGATTTTCCCCCCAAAATGTTAATTTGTTCTAAACTCTACTATATAGGGGTGCCTGGGTGGTCAGTTGGTTAGATGTCTGCCTTCCACTCAGGTCATGATCCCAGGATCCTGGGATTGAGCCCCAAGTCAGCCTCCCTGCTCAGCGGGAAGCCTGCTTCTCCCTCTCCCTCTGCCCTTCCCCCTGCTTGTGCTCTCTCCTGCTATCTCTCTCTCAAAAAAATTTTTAAAAAATAGTAACTCTACTATATAAAAGCATTAAAGAAAATATTTAAAAGAAGTTTCCTCGTTACCCTAAAATGACTAATTATGATTTCTGACTTTTATAAGCTTCTCCATAGATATCCGTGATAGGTAGATATAGATACACTGTGTGGATCAATTTACATGTGGTAGATTCATTTCTTTATTTTTAATTATCTCATTCTCCCCCCGCCCCCAGTTTTCTTCATATACACATTCCCTTTCCCATATAGCTGTATAATCCTCATCATAGTATTTTTTAACAGCTGTAGGGTATCTTAAGTGTATATTCTGTCTCGAGGTCCCTCTGATATTGATGGTGTTGGTTGTTTCTGATGTGTTACCATTTATTCGATCAATAGTGACTGAATCCCTACAACTCTCCAGGCCCTGACCTAGACTTTGGAGTTGTAGCTATAAACAAGAGAAAGAAAGTCCTTTCCACAAGGAGGTTGTGTTCTGTTCCATTTCTCGGTTGATCATTGTTGTCAGAATTTGGTGCCTGCATCTAGGGAGGTGCCATCAAGCACCAGGAATTGAGGGCAGTAAGAGGTCCCTTAGAGAGTTAATCCGCAAGAGCTGAGTGTGGAGAAACAACAGAAATGTGCAGACCCAGGCCAGGGAGACTGCCTTCAATTCCATGAACATACCAGGAGGGTGGCAGGCTCCTTGGAAACATGGCGGGGTGGTCCTGGACGAGAACGGTAACAGTGTCCAGCCTCGTACTGGGCAGGGAGAGGGGGTCTCTGCCATTGGACTTCATCTAGCCAGCCCGTCAGGAGGTGATGCTAAGGCAGTCAGATGGGGCGTTGTCTAACTGCTTTGGCCCAGTCCTGCTCACCACGCAGACGTTGAACTCAAAAGGAACTTGTGAAGAGCTCATTCAGACTTTGAGAATTTGTGGTTCCTTAGGGTTTGCTGTGGTAGTTCAGCTCCTGCTTATGACTTGGGTTTCCTCTCTGGCTTCACTGTGGAGATAGAATACACCCATCCCGAGGCCACGGGTGCAGTCTACAGCACATGACAGTTACGGTTCTCCTTACAAGCCAGGTGGCATGGTGGTGTGAGCCTCTGCCTCCCGCACATTCGGCTGCACTTGTGAGTCTGGCTCTTTGGAGTATGAGGACTCTGGAAGCACATCGCCGTGTTGTTCTTTTGATTGCTCTCATCTAGGACTGCTGGTCAGGCCCCGGGCCTGTCTCATAAGCCTATCCATACATACATGGTTTTGTGTATTTTTGAAAGCAGTGGATCCTTTGCAAGCTTGACATTCTGTCTTTGGTTAGCAGTGGCTGGGGTAGCCATGCCAGCCGGAGAAAAAAGCTGTCCACTGAACCTGGGCCTCAGCCCTGAATGGTGAGTGCAGGATATAGGAACCTCGCAAGGTGTTTGGCATCTGTCAGGGCAGATGCTGTATGTAGTGGGCTGGTGTTCAGAGCATGAGTCTTGGAGTTAAATTTGGCTCCAGTCCTAGGTGTGGCCTTGGGTGAGTTACTTGACCTTTTAGATTCTCATTCTCATCTGTATAATGGGAATAATTATTAATAGCTCTGTCATAGGGTTGTGCAGGACTTAAAATAGGAGCCTGTATCTGAAAAACAATGGGCCCAGATGCTGAGAAGCTACTCCATCAACAGTAGTTGTGACTACAGTAGTGTTGGTAAGGCTACTGGAACACTTCTTTTTTGTGTGTGGGAAAGAGGGCATTCGACATTTTGTAGTTTGAAATGCTTCTTGGATCATCCTAAATCCACATTTTCCAGGCCATGTTCACCTGAGCCTTTGTGGCTGGCAGAAAAACAGTCCGTGTCCCCCCCCCGCCCCGCCCCGCCCCGCCCCGATTTTGAGAAGAGGACAAGTCAGTACTGACAAGATTTGATAGGAGAGCCAAACCTGGCCGTTAAAAACGGACTGTAAAGCCTTGGCTCTGGAGCCGGACTGCCAGGGTTTGGGTCTCTGTGTGACTTTGGACAAATTACCTGTCTGGACCTCTGTTTCCTCATCTGTAAAATAGGAATAAATGTATTCTTATTGCATAGGGTTGTTGTGGAGATTCGATGAGTTAATGTGCATAAAGCCACTTGAACAGCCCCTGGTCACGTAGTAAGCGCTTGGAAATGTGTGCCTGCATTTGTTGATTTTTGCTGCTTTCTTCATCTAAGGAGCCGTGTGAAGCCAGTGGAGTATAGTCAGATGTACAGCTACAGCTACAACCAGTATTACCAGCAGTACCAGAACTACTACGCCCAGTGGGGCTACGACCAGAACACAGGCAGCTACAGCTACAGCTACCCCCACTACGGCTACACGCAGAGCACCATGCAGGTAAGCGCGCAGCCCCGGGCCGCAGCTCGGCCTCCGGCGTGGCATCGCTAGGCTGCAGCCTCAGAAGAAAACGGGGAGAGACGAAGCGACCTCTTGGCTAAAAATAAGGCCTTCTTGTCTCGGGCCAGGAGTTCACGCTGCTACTCACCCTCTCTTCGGTCTCTTGGCAGACATATGAAGAAGTCGGGGATGACGCGTTGGAAGGTGAGAAGTTTGTTCACTCATTCCTCTGTCCTCTGTCAGGCGACCGCTCTGTGGCGCCACTGTTCCTTAGCTCGATGCTGAGGAATGCAAGGTGGATTCTGCTCTGGAGGAAACTGCCTTCTAGTGAGCGAGCTAGTGCACGCATAATTATAGTGAGAAGGGAGCGTGTGCCCCAGAGGCGTGCGTGCAGTCCCAGCGAGCCCAGAGGAAGCAGCGCAGCAGGGGAGAGGCCTGGGACATTCAGCCCCCACATGTAGGTCTCCAGCAAAACTCTTGCCTTGTGTGTGTTTGATAGTTTGTAAAATTCATTTTTTTATCTCATTTTAATTTTTTCCTCATGCTCAAGTAATAGGTATGATTGAAAATTTGGAAAAGAGGGGCACCTGCGTGGCTCAGTCGTTAAGCGTCTGCCTTCAGCTCAGGTCATGATCCCAGGATCCTGGGATCGAGCCCCACATCGGGCTCCCTGCTCCACGGGAAGCCTGCTTCTCCCTCTCCCACTCCCTCTGCTTGTGTTTCCTTTCTTGCTGTCTCTCTGTCAAATAAAAAATTTTTTTTTAATTTTTTTAAATATTAAAAAATTTGGAAAATATAGTAACATGAAGAAAACTGAAAATCACCCCAATCTGCTACATAGTAATAGCCATTTTTAATTTTTTTTAATTAAAAGCATTTGTTGTAATTTTTACTGAATTTAACACAGGAAAAAGGAAAATAAAACTGAAGGGATTGCTAACCTTCAAACAAATGATTTCTCAAATGATATTAATACTTAAAGGATTTTTAAGGTTTGAAAATACTATGAAAAACAATTTTTTTAAACATTTCTGAATAGATGTTACGTTTTAAAGAAGTAAAATTTAGGGGCGCCTGGGTGGCTCAGTCGTTAAGCATCCGCCTTCGGCTTGGGTCATGGTCCCAGGGTTCTGGGATCAAACCCCGCATCAGGTTCCCTGCTCAGCGGGAGGCCTGCTTTTCCCTCTCCCACTCCCCCTGCTTGTGTTCCCTCTCTCGCTGTGTCTCTGTCAAATAAATAAATAAATCTTTAAAAAAAAGTAAAATTTAGGAGCACCTGGCTGGCTCAACAGTGGAGCATGTGACTCTTGATCTTGGGGTTGTGAGCTCGAGTCCCATGTGGGGCACAGAGATTACTTAAAAAATCTTGGGGTGGCTGGGTGGCTCAGTCGGCTAAGCGTTACTTATTTGGACCCACAACCCTGCTAGGGAAAATTACAGTGTTGATTTTTGTGGTAATTATTTTCTTCTTTCTCTTTAGAGATATCCATCCTTAAATAATATTGTTTTTTTAGCTTCATATAATGCAGTTGTACTATATGTACTGTCTTGCTTTTTTCATTGAACACTCAGCATTTCTTTTAAATAAAATTCTGGTATAGTTAACATACAGTGTTACATTAGCTTCAGGTGTACAATATAGTGATTCAGCACTTCTCTACATTACTCAGTGCTCATCATGGTAAATTAACACCATTTGTGAGATCCAACCAAGTTGTATGCAGTTGAGGCTGATTTTCATTGCTATGTAATGTTCCCTTTGAAGAATAGTGGTCTGGACTTAAGTCATTTTGATCAGATTTCCATAACCCAAAATTGAAGGATCACACGAGGACAGCCAGGGCACATGAAGTCTAGAGAAGAGGTGGAGTAACAGCCACCATGATTTGAGTCTGTGTATGAGGTTTCCTAAGTAGACTCCACTTTTATCCTTAAAGGAACCCTGCAAGGCAGCGGTGCGGGCCCTGAGGGACTCTGACACAGAGCACAGGGAACTTGCCAGAAGCAGGAAGCCCTGGGAGTGGGGAACGGAGTCCCAAGTGTCTGGGTGCTTCTCCTGGCGCTCTGAACCCACCCTGGCTTCTCTTGCAGACCCCATGCCGCAGTTGGATGTGACAGAGGCCAACAAGGAGTTCATGGAGCAGAGCGAGGAGCTGTACGACGCCTTGATGGACTGTCACTGGCAGCCCCTGGACACAGTCTCTTCAGAGATCCCTGCCATGATGTAGTCGGGACAGGACCAGCCGAAAAGGATTGTGTGGTGGAGAGGAGAGACTCCTTTTTAACAAAGTATTAGAACTTTTAACTTTTTGGAAATGTTTTGTAAGATTTTAGTGATCAACTCTTCTGAGATTATGACCATTTCTGCAACATTGCTGCCTTCCTTTGCCCGTGAGCCTTCGGAGTTTGACAACCACGGTGCCATTGAGCAAGGTTCTACTTGTCCTTGAAAAGTTAATTTTTCCAGGTAGGGATGTTACCCACTTTTGGAGATAAGGAGAGTTTGGGGTTATTAACCAAAGTGGATCATAAGATTTATTCAACCCAGAGGGCCATCTCAGGTGACAGACACTGCATCCTTAAGGTTCTCTGGGGTCACAGTGCATGGGTTACCTGTTGTATGCCACGTGGGGGGCAGTGTTGATCATCCATTCAAGTATCCCTTCACCTCGACAAGTTTGCTTTTACGTTTGGTGGCTGTGTGCGGTAGGCTGTAATGGAACCAGCTAAATCTAGACCAAAGGGCTCAAGACTTGGGGGCATGCTCCAAGGGCAAGCCTAGCTTCAATAAGCCCTTATTGAGGGACATTAATGTGACTGTGTGCCTGGCCCACCGGTTTGACATTATTTTCATTTGATTGATAGGTATGAATCCACTTACAATGCTCTCCAGCACCCATGTGGAAAGTCTGGATTTACACTAAAAATCTGCAGCTCACCTCTACTCGTTTGTGCTAGAGGAAATTGCAGGCGGGGGGCAGGGGGGGGGCGGACAATGGGGGCAACTTGAGGTAAATGGTCTAGGTCACAAGAAGCCTTCAGATATTTTAAGGAATACGTATTAGGCTCTGCCTGAATTTTCAGGCTTTTTGGAGGAAAAATTAATTATGTATAGTGGAAGTTGTAGAGGTCAACCTATCTTTATGAAGACGACACTGTCACGGGGAACAAGAAAACGAACACAAACATACTTCAAGTCTTTTACTAGTCACTTCTATGCCATGTGCCACCAGTAGCAGAAATACAAAGGTCATGGTTTTCCACTAAAATAATCTGTTCTTTCAGCTTGCCTCTTCCCAGTGTTTCTGTCCTGCAAAGGAAGTGTAAGCCAGTGTGTTAATACGCCCCCAATTAATTGCCACCCAGGCTTTTTCTGAAGAGCTGGTCTCAGTCCCATATCCGCATTTATCATCCATAGATGTCCACTCAGATTAGGTTTCATCCTGGACCAGTCAGCCTAAAAAATGTCCCACACTAGATGAACTACACTTGTTTCTACCCAACCCATCTCCCACACTCCTAGGAAAGGGAGATCCCAGGTTTGAGGTTTCCCCAAATGTCAGCATAAGTTCAAACCACAATTGTACATTCACAGCAACCGGCCCTTGCTGCCGAAGGTACAGGGCTTTGGCATCTAGTACCTTCTACTCCTAGCAGTATGCTCTTGGCCTTCCAACAGGATGGGCAAATCTAAGACTCAAGTCACACTGTAAACATTTTTCTCTTCTGGCCACGAACAGCTAATACGGCATACAAGGAAGGTCAGGTGTAAATGACATATGAAAACGCTAAGACTTCCCAGAGGCCTGACTAGCCTTCTGTCGATTCACTACACTACTCAGGGTTCACAAGGCTCAAGCACTACTGGAAGCTGCAAGGAAGCTATGACGTTTCAGGTAGCCAACTTACCCAACTATAGATCCATAATCACAGACAAGGACAACTTTACTGGTAACAGATCTAAAAAAAAAAAAAAAAAACACCACCAAAATGGACACTCTCAAGAGGCAAGAAAACCATTCATTAAGTCAGCAATCACTACAACTGCCCAGAGCTTCACATACATCCTCCCTTTAAGCCTAAGATTCTCCCATTTTAGAGGGGAGGAGGAAACCAGGTCAAAGAGAATTCAAACCCTGTTTGAAACTAGCCCACAGTCTATATAACAGACTATAAGCACCACGAGGCCAGCTTCAGTATCCCTTTTCCTCCTTTTACGACCACCAAGACCAGCGTTCAGATCCGATGGGAAAGGGAACCGGAGGGTCAGGCTGTCTCCAGCATCTAACTTTACCTTGTCTAAAGCACAGCAACAACCTGGTATCCTCAGACTCTTCGGTAGCAGACACTGACAGGAACACTTGGGGGCAACCTGCAGAAAAAAGTGTAAAAGCTCTAAACCAGAAATACATCCAATACACCCATCTTCATGGAAGTTTATGGAAAACACCTGGACTCGGGCAGCAGGCTTCTGACCCAGGTCCTGGGCTGTTATAGGAAAGGCGAGTGGCAGCTGCAGGTATTATGCTGACCTGTGCTGTCAAAGTCTCTCCAGGTTGCTCTCGCATGCAGTTGGAGATCCCGTGGCCACACCCGGCCACAGCCCTTGGAAACATGCTGTACTGACCCGCCAGGTAGCTCCCAGAAACCTACCAGGTCCCAAGGTGGTTGTGTTCCATCACTGTCATGACCCCAGAATCCTCACCAAAAAGCTCCACTTCAAAGTCATCCTGGAATCTTCATCTGGGACAGCTGAGATGAGAAAACAGTTGTCCTGAATGATCTTACTGTTCCCTTCCTTTGGTCTTCATAATCAAAGGTGTGACTGGCTTTTGGTACTTAAACGCCGTAAGCTTTTTCGGGGCAGTGACCCACAGCACTGCTGAGATCTGTGCCACTTGCCAATAGATTTTCCCAGTACACCTGTCCACGCCACTCAGCCTGCCCCACCATACTGGTTCTTGGTCTCAGCAATTTACTTCTCCCAAGTTTTTTTCTAGCAACTCTATGTAGGACGCTATTAACAGGGACGCCTGGGTGGCTCAGTCGGTTAAGCGTCGGTCCTGGGATCGAGCCCAGCATCGGGCTCCCTGCTCAGTGGGGAGCCTGCTTCTCCCTCTGCCCCTTCCCCCGCTCGTGCTTGCTCTCTCCCAAATAAAAAAAAGACCCCATTAACAAGACGTTTCTGCTGGCCTCTGGAAACCGGTCAATTGTAATAAAGGACTCCACCTATACCTGAGAAATGGCAGGTACAACAGGAACTGTCTTTTCCTGAAATGTTGCAGATCAGTTACAGCAAACAGAACGGCGACCGTCAAGGAAAACTGTCACTCTGGGCTCCTTTTTGACCACAGCAGCTATGTGGAAGCAGCTGCAGCTTCGATAAGGGCCACAGGGCAATTTAGGTCCCAGGACCGCTCCCAAATGCCACCTAGCCCCCTAGACTCACCTAGAGCCCGTGCACTATTGCGTAACAAATTCATGGACTGAAATATACTGGAGACCAAATAAGAGAACAGATACCATTGGGGCGCCTGGGTGGCTCGGTTGGTTAAGAGTCAAGACTCTTTATCCCGGAACAGGTCTTGACGTTATGGTCCTGCGTTCAACCCAGAGCCCCGCACTGGGCTCCACGCTGGGCATGGAGCCTACTTAAAGAGAACAGATACCCTTTTATATGTACTTTTTAGACTGAGCTTATGCCCAACATGGGGATGGAACTCAAGACCCTGAGATCAAGAGGCGCATGCTGAACCGACTGAGCCAGTCAGGCGCCGAAAACAGATATCCTATTACCAGGTCCCAATTACCACTTTATTTTACTATGTGTCAGAGTTTTACCTCATTTCATCTTCACAGGACCATTTTATCATCCGTTTTACCGGTAAGTTTAGACCAATTAAGCTATCTACTTAAGGTCGCCAATCAATGCAGAAAGCCACAGAACTGGGATTCAAAATAGGACCTAAAGGACTCTAAAACGCGGCCCCCAGAAAACCCTACCCTTTTATCCACCTGCATGGATTGCTTAACGTGTTGTGCAGCCAGACGACAGGTGAAATCACTTCCCCAAGGTCGCCCAATACGTGGCTTTAACAGGCAGTTTCAGATCTGGCGGACACCACCGCGCAAATTAAGCCACTTCAGACCCAGGACTGCCCTGCACCAGGCCGCCTGCCCGCGTCACTCACCCGTCGCACTACGGTGCAGCGATGCGCGGGCCGAGGCGGGAGCAGGTACGGCCCTCTCGGGCTCCAGCCCCTCTCACCGCGCATGCGGCCGACCAGGCCTTCCGGGTGTTGGTCCCAGCGGGCCGGGAGGCCCGGCAGCTCCGAGCCGCTCTCATCATCCCGCAGCCTCGGAGGCAGGCCCGGCGGGTGCGGGGCCAGCGGCGGCGAAGCTACGGCGCGGGGAGAGGAGGCTGGGCGTGAACTGCAGCAGGCCTGGCTCTCCAGGTCCAGAGACGCCACCACCACACCGGCTAGGGAAAAGGAAGTCCGTGTCTTGGAAGGGGGCTTATATAGGGCTCTCCCCTGGAGGCCGCGCCGACAATTGGAGCAACGCGCCGCGCAGACCGCTGGGAGTTGTAGTCCGCCCGCCCTCACACGCCGGGCGGCGCGTCCCGCTCCAAGACCTAAGCGCGTGTGGAGTCCCGGCCTTTTGACCGGGGCTGGAGCGACTTTCCGCCTGTGTTCCGGATTCACTGAACGTCCGGTACTGGGCACTGGGCTTACAAATGAAGCCGACCCGCCATGCCCGCTGGAGTTCAGTCAGACTTCCAAAGTCGGGAAATGACGCTATGCGCTGCGACAGGGCAGCCGCGGCTGAGTGGGTTTGGGGAGGCGCTCTGGGAGCTCCTGTTGGAGCGGGGCCCGTGGGGAGGGCTTCTTAGGAAGGAAAAGGCGACCGAGTCCTCAGAAGAGGAACGCATTCTTTGTTCAAGACTAGCCTCTTGCGCTAATAGATAAATTACTGAGCGGTTACTAAGTAAATGATACTCGATTATCTCAGCTAGTTTTCATAATAACCCTGTGTATAGTTATAGTTATACCCACTTTACAGATAAGAAAACTGAGGAATGCATCAGCCAGGTAGCTAACGAGGTAAGGACTGGAATCCACGAGTCCACCGCAGAGACCACACTCGGAGTCACTGTGCCACGAGCACAGTGGAATGAGTAAGCGTCAGTGTAAAAACAAGTAGTCGTCAAGAATTAAATACCTATTCTGTGCTTAAACTCTTCATTAATTTTTATCCTTAATATACACTTTAAAAAGTAGGTACTACTATTATTCCCATTTTATGGAGAAAACAACAGACTCTGAGAGAAAGAAACTTTCAGGTGACTCCCAAATGTGTTTCTCCAGCCTCTTTTCTCCTGAGCGCCAGACCCTTCACCCTGCAGCTTCCTGGACACCTACACCTGGCTAATAAATAGGCTTCTCAGAACACAGCCTTTCCTCCTCCGCACCGGCTCTTCCCAATCTCAGTAAATCCTTGGAGGGACCCTGGTCTCTTTCTCTACCGTCCTACTTCGGACCCGTCAGCAAATCCTGTATTCTCCACCTTTAAGATGGTAGGACATTCCTTACCACCCCACTGATGCTGTCGCTGCCCACCCACAATCACAGTGAGCCTCCTAATCAGTCTCCCCGATTCTGCCATTCTTCCCTATAGTCTGGTCTCAACACACCAGCCACGATGTTTGAAGAGCAAAAGTTTTTAATTTTGGTGAAGTCCAGTGTCTATTTATTTATGCTTTGTGCTTTTTGTGTCCTAATTTAAAAATTTTTGCCTAGCTCAAAGGCATTAAGATTTTCTCCTATGTTTTCTTCTAGGAGCTTAATAGTTTTAGCTCTTACATTTAGATCTAGGATTCATTTTTAATTAATTTTTGTGTATGGTGTAAGAGTGAAAGTTTATCACATATGGCTCTCGAATTGTTCCATGTTCATTTGTTGAAAAAGATTATCTTTATCCATCTAATTGCTTTGGCACCTTTGTAGAAATCAATTGACCATATGTGTAGGTCTGTTTCTGTACTCAATAATACACTGTCTTGATTACTGTAGCTTTTTTTAAAAGATTTTTTATTTTATTTATTTATTTGATAGATAGCACAAGCAGGGGGTGAGGCAGGCAGAGGGAGAAGCCAGCTTCCCGCTGAGCAGGGAGCCCGATGCGGGGCTTGATCCCAGGACCCTGGGACCATGACCTGAGCCCAAGACAGACGTTTAACCGACTGAGCCACCCAGGCGCCCCACTGTAACTTTTTAATAAGTTTTGAAATAGGGTAGTATAAATCATCCAAACTCGTTCTTTCTCAAAATTGTTTTGGCTATTCAGAGTCTTTTGTATTTCCATGTAAACTTTAGTATCAGCTAATTTGTATTTTTTTAAAAAGCCTACTGGGATTTGGTTGGTATTGCATTGCATCTGTAGACTAATTTGGGGAGAACTGACATCTTAATATTGAGTCCTCTCATCCTTGAGGATGGTATAGCTCTCCATTCAGTCAAGTTATCTTTAATTTCTCTCAACAGTGTTTTGTAATTTTCAACATACAGATCTTGTATATTTTTAGTCAAATTTGTCCCTAAGTTTTTCATATTTCTGATGCTATTGTAAATGGTATTACTTTTATCAATTTCAAATTCTAAATGGTCATTGCTAGTGTATATAGAATTAATTTTTGCATATTAACTTGTATCCTCCAACCTTGCTAAACTCATTTATTAGTTTTAGTAGCTCCTATGTAAATTCCTTAAGACTTTTCACATGTCTGTGAATAAAGAGAGGTTTACCTCTCCCTTTCCAATCTGGATGCTTTTTATTTATTTTTCTTGTCTTATAGTATTAGTTAGGACCTCCAGTACAATATTGAATTAATAAGGGCGCCTGGGGGCGCCTGGGTGGCTCAGTTGGTTAAGCGACTGCCTTCGGCTCAGGTCATGATCCTGGAGTCCCGGGATCGAGTCCCGCATCAGGCTCCCTGCTCGGCGGGGAGTCTGCTTCTCCCTCTGACCCTCCTCCCTCTCATGCTCTCTGTCTCTCATTCTCTCTCTCTCAAATAAATAAATAAAATCTTTAAAAAAAAATAAATAAATAAGGGCGCCTGGATGGCTCAGTTGGTTGAGCGACTGCCTTCGGCTCGGGTCATGATCCTGGAGTCCCGGGATCGAGTCCCGCACCGGGCTCCCTGCTCGGCAGGGAGTCTGCTTCTCCCTCTGACCCTCCCCCCTCTCATGTGCTCTCTCTCATTCTCTCTCTCTCAAATAAATAAATAAAATCTTAAAAAAAAAAAAGTTACATTTCATCAAAATTAAAAACTCAGGGTGGGGGGTGGTCAGGAGAAGGGAATTGAAAAAGGATATGGGGGAAAAAAATAAAAAGGACATGGAGAGGGGTGCCTCAGTTGGTTAGACATCTGACCCTTGATCTCAGCTCAGGTCTTGATCTCAGGGTTATGAGTTCAAGCCCCCCACTGGGCTCCATACTGTGCGTGGAGCCTACAATAAACAAACAAACAAATAAAATAATGGGAAAATTTGGGGGTGATATATGCTCATTATTTAGATTGTTGTAATGGTTAATGAATGTACACTTACATCACAAGTCATTACATTGGGTGCCTGGGTGGCTCAGTCAGTTGGGTGTTTGCCTTCAGCTCAGGTCATGATCCCAGGGTCCTTGGATGGAGCCCTGCATGGGCTCCCTGCTCAGCGGGGAGTCTGCTTCTCCCTCTCCCTCTGCCACTCCCCCTGCTTGTGCTCTCTCGTTCGCTCTCTGTCAAATAAAATCTTAAAAAAAATAGTCATTACATTATACTCTGTAATATGTACAGTTAGTTTACTGTGTGTCATTTATACCCCCATTAAGATGTAAAAATTAAAAACCAAGAAAAAATTTACATTATATTATTCACCTGCTCCAAAATCTCCACTGACTTCACAAGATATTTGGAATAAAAGCTGAGGTCCCATGATGGCTTCTGAAGCCACATGTGATTTGGCTCTTCCTCCTCTCTGCCCTCATCACCCACCACTTGCTCCCTCAATCATTCTGCTCTCTTAGCCTCTTTGCTCTGCTTGGAGCATCCCTTGCCTGATCCCACCTCAGGGCCTTTGCTCTTGCGGTTCTTCCTGCCTGGAACTATCCTCTCTGGATATCACAGACACCCACACTACTCCCTCACTCCCCCTGGTTTTCTGTTCTAATGTCATCTCCTCAGAAAACCCTACTTAGGGGCGCCTGGGTGGCTCAGTCTGTTAAGCGTCTGCCTTCGGCTCAGGTCATGATCCCGGGGTCCTGGGATCGAGTCCCTCATCAGGCTCTCTGCTCAGCGGGAAGCCTGCTTCTCCCTCTGCCTGCTGTTCCCCCAGCTTGTGCACACTCTCTGTCTAATAAATACATAAAATCTTTTAAAATAAAAAAAAAGAAAACCCTATTTTGATGTAGCACCCTGCCACCCTTCAAGCCATTGTCCTGCTTGACTGTTATTTATAGCACTTATTGCTTCTTGACATCACATTATATATGGATTTATTTTCTGTCTTCCCCATTACAGTGTGAGCTCCCAAGACCAGGAATTGTGTGTTTTTATTTTCACTGCTGTGTAAGTGCCTGGTATATAACAGAGAGCTAGCACTTACTGAAACAAATACAAAGTAAACGAATTAACGAATAAAACTTGGCGGAGGCCACACAGCTAGTCAGAGGGCAGTTGGAACTAAAACCTTGATCTCTCGGGCAGAGGCGCCTGACTCACCTGCTGTGTTGCATGGCCCCTCCAGATTACTCTGTGAGGCGGGCACCATGATCTGCCTTACTCAGCAGAAGGGGAAGCAGGGTGGGGAGGGAAAGTCACTTGCCCCGCCGCAGTCACACAGCCAGTCTCTGGCAAGGTCAGCTGACCTCTGGATTCTGGCCGCTCGCTGCAGGGGGCAGGCACATGACCCTCGCCCACAGCAGGAGCCTCTAGGAGAGGAAGTTCCAAGAGCCCAGTGCTGCCGGTGCACTGCCCACGGGTGCTGACTGCAAAGGCTTCTGGGAATGGGGGTTCAAACCGCCTTTCACGTTGTTTTATGCCTCTCTGCCTTTGTCCAGCTGCTCCTGCCTAGAGTGCCCTTCCTCCTTGAACTCCCCAGCTCGCCCTCGTCCTGGGAGACCCAGCTTCAGAATCACCTGCTGCACAAGGTCTTCTCTGAGCCTATAGCTCCCTGAGTCCAGAGTCCAGCCCTACTGTGGGATTTGACGGACTGAATTAATGAACCAATAGCACTTATCCATTTTCATTCTTTCTTTCTACCATAAATATGTACTTAGTTCCTGTTTTGTGCCAAGCACTGGGATACCACCATTAATCATTGCCCTCAAGTGACCTAGGAGGGAGACAGCTAATGCAGCGGACAAAAGGGTATGTGACCTCACTGGCCAGTCAGAGGCTTTCTGAGGACAGGGCTCGAACCTAAGTTGTGTAGTAGGAGTTAGCCCTTTGAAGAGGAGAAGAGGACTGAGAAGAGGAAAGGTGTTGCGCATGGCTGGAGCTCAGAGTACCAGTGGTGGGTAAAGAAGGGGCTAGAGGCATCCATAGGGACCTGACACACAAAAATATTTTTCCAGCTAAACAGAGTGAGGTGGAGAAAATATCTCAACTGAGGAATCAGTGGGGAAGGTGGGAGTGGGGCAAACTCTTAATTTGGGCAAAGCTGGCAGGAAGGATTCCTCCCCGAACACACACCCTTCCTGAGGCTCCTCAGGGTTCCTGGATTCTCAGGCTCCTCTCTCCTACTCCTAGAAGTAGGGGACAAGCAGACACATGGGCCCCTTCAGGCTCTACCACGCAGGTGACCAGTGACTGAGATTACATGGAGACCTGTCAAAATGGCTTCTTATTGATTTGTTAGGAGTTAGCCAGAAGAGGGGCACCTGGCTAGCTCAGTTGGTAGACCATGTGACTCTTGAGCTCGGGGTCATGAGTTCAAGCCCGACTTTGGGTGTAGAGATTATTTACTTACATACATACATACATACATATATCCACTTAAAAAAAAAAAAGAGTGAGAAGAAAACCTGGGCCTTCCCAGATCCTCAGCCTGTCCTGTCAGACACAGAAATAGCAAATAAGGCTTTGGCCTTGGGTAAACTTGACAGCTAGTCTATCTTCCTTGTTAAGTGACCTCGGATTCCTTATCTCTGAGCCTCAAGTTTCCTCATCTGTAAAAATGAGAATAACGACACCTTACAAGTTTGTGTGAGAAGGAAATATGATGATTCGATTGTTTGCAACAGTGAGGATTTCACCTCACCACCAATTTGCCAAAACAAGTTAAAGTGGTAAAATCCACCCACTTTGGGACAGTGAGATTAAACCAATAGACGCACTGTTTGGGACGAGCCAGAACTCCAGCCTTGATAACTTGGGTTTCCAGAAGGCCTGACTGGAGAGGGTAGACTGGCTCTTGGAGGCAGATGTCCCTGCCTTACCCTTGCCACTAACCCACAGGGACCTGACCGCTGTGTCCTGGTCCTCTTGGTACTTGATTTGCAGTCCCCCTTTGTGGCATCAGGGGGGTAATGAAGAGTGAGACAAACTCATATATGAGTCTCAGCTCTGCTCTGTGACCTAAGACAAGCCTCAGTTCTCCTCAGCTCTAAAATAGGCACACTATGGTGCTCTCAAAGTTGTCGCCAGCAGAGTGTGAAGAACTGACCATCTGGCCTCATAAATGTTAGTTGTCCAGACCACAGGCCAACAGTACTCCCTCTGGAATCGCATTTGCCTATGTCTGTCCGGCCTCCTACCAGCCCTGTTGGCATCCCTCTCTGGGCCCTGAGGCCCCGCCCCAAGCAGGTGCTGAGGATGCAGTGGGGGCTGTTAAACATTGAACCCGACCATTGAACGGGAGGCCCTGGGAGGCCCTAGGCCAGGGCTAATGGAGCTCCGGGAAAGGAGCACCTGGGTGGGGAAGGGACACCTATAACCCATCAACTTTCTAGAGTGGTGCCTCCAGCTCCAGCAACAGGGGCCCAACCAGGGCACTGCCCGGAGAGTGGGGCTGGAGAGAGAAGCCGGCCCGCAGAATGAGGTGACCCCTCTGGCGGTGTTAGCCTCGGGCAGGTGCGTGTTTGGTTCTCGTCCCTCGCTCGTCCTCCTCCCCACATTGCCTTCTTTAATCTCCCATCCCGCGAAGTAGGGGTTATTAGAGGACGACACTGGGCCCCCAGGCAGGAGAGCACGTGCCCGGGTGTCTCGCGCCCCGGGCCGAGGGGCGGGGCCAGCCTCCGGGGCGGGGGGCGGGGAGCGCCTCGGGGGCGGGGCGCTGACCCCGGGCGGCGGGGCGGCGGGGCGGCTGGACGCGGGCGGCTGGACGCGGGCCATGGCGGCTGGGGGCTGCCGCTACCAGTTCCGGATCGCGCTGCTGGGGGACGCGGCCGTGGGCAAGACGTCGCTACTGCGGCGCTATGTGGCGGGCGCGCCCGGGGCCCCGGAGCCCGAACCCGAGTCCGAGTGGGCGCCCACGGTGGGCGTCGAGTTCTACAGCCGCAAGCTGCAGCTGCGAGCCGGGCCGCGCGTCAAGCTGCAGCTCTGGGACACCGCGGGCCACGAGCGCTTCAGGTGCGGGCCGGGCGGGCTGAGGGACCCGGGGGCGCGGTCAGTGCCCCCCCTCCCCGCCTCCAGGGCGGTTACCCCCCCCGCACCGAGGGCTCGGCCTCAGTGGCCAAGGTACAGGTCTGGGGGTCCCAGCCCTGCTCTCTGGCCCTCCACGTGGAGTCGTTCGTCCCACAGATGCAGCCACGTGGGCCAAGCCCCCGAGCCAGAGGCCTGAGACCTTGGCGCCGGGAGGGCGCAAGGGTCCTGCCACGGAGACCTGGAGGAATGGGTGACCCGGCTGCTGAGAGAGCCCACGGGGGCAGAGCGAGCAGAGCGGGAGGTGCCAGGGAGATGGGAAAGGAAGAGAGGTTTGGGACGGCCTGGAACGATGCGTAGGAGTTTGCCAGGCCGAGAACGGGAAGCAAAAATCTGCCATCAGGAAATCTGCTTCCTCCAGGAATGGTCCAGAGAGGAGGTGACTTGAACTTGCTCCCTAGCTGAGGCGCAGGCACTCCGTTGGGAGAGACACAGAGGCCGGGGGCAGAGAAGCACCCGGCAGTGTGAAAAGAGCTATGGGGCTTGTGAGGCAGTCCGTGCGCGCGGGGGACGCCCTGCCTGTGGGGGGGCCTGGAAGGCATAAACCCAGCTCACTCCGCCTCCTTCAGGTGCATCACCAGGTCCTTCTACCGGAATGTGCTGGGCGTCCTACTGGTCTTTGATGTGACAAACAGGAAGTCCTTTGAACATATCTGCGACTGGCACCAGGAGGTCATGGCCACTCAGGGCCCGGATAAGGTGATCTTCTTACTGGTTGGCCACAAGAGTGACCTGCAGAGCACCCGCTGTGTCTCAGCCCAGGAGGCAGAGGAGCTGGCTGCCTCCCTGGGCATGGCCTTCATGGAGACCTCCGCCAAAAATAACTGCAATGTGGACCTGGCCTTCAGCACCCTTGCTGACGCCATCCAGCAGGCCCTGGATCAGGGGGACATCAAGCTGGAGGAGGACTGGGGGGGCGTCCGGCTCATCCACAAGACCCAAGTCCCCAGCGCCACCCCCAGGAAGCAGCCCCCAGGTCCATGCCAGTGTTGACTCTGGGAAGGAAAGGGTTAAAGCAGTGCCAACCTTAGAAGTGCTGCTGGGATGGGGAGTGTCAGTATCTTTCTGGAGAGCAAAGGGCCAAATGTAGCCAAAGGGTTAATATAAACAGTATCCTAGCAGCCACACCTCCCGGATTTGGGGGTTTCACAGCTCAGTTCCTTTCTGCCAGAAAGCTCTAAGAAGCCAGGTGTGCAGCTTCGTGTCCATCAGCCTGTTTCCTCAGTTGTCCGTGGGGCTCATAGAAGACCCATGCCACGGCAGGGGTGAGGGGGTGGGGGACATGCTCAGCCAGAGCCAGCCATACCGCTAAGAGCTGAATACGAGAACTATCCTCACTACTCTTTCCCCTCTGACATTTCTGGCAGCGCTCCCGAGCCCGGACGCGGAGACACACGGAGTCTGGACACTGCTGCACAGGCGAGGACTGGGCGGGGAATTTCAGGGCAAGCCTACCTGGGAGCCTCCTTAGGTCCTCCGAATTGGATGAGTCTTAAGTGTGTGCCTGAACCTCAGGGTCGCTGCCCAGCGCCCCTACTCCAAGGCCGGGTGCTGGATCTGGGAGGCAGGCATGAAGGCGAGCGAGCATCTCCTAGGTTGGGCACATAGTGGACACTGTGATTAGGCACCAAGATGTCCCTACAGGGCTGCAGATCCCACAGCCTTCTAGCCCCACCCCTAAACCCTAAACACCCCCTCCCCCAGCTGCTGGAAGTGCTGCCAATGATGGTGGGCTCACAGCACCCCCTGGGAACTGCCTACCCCTCAGGGCTGCCCACATCCAGTGTTGATCTGTTGAATCTATTGGGGGGTGGGGGAGTGTTTAAAGGCCTGGTTCTCTTGCCCCAGCTCTGAAGGTCAAACCCAGCTTCATCACTCTTCATGGGGCTGATTGAGGCCATTGTTCTTACAACATAACAGCTAAATTCTTCCTCCCCTCAGTCCCACTTCCCTCCCTTCCTCCCCCAAGCAGGTATTGATCTCAAGAACCCTCTAATCAATGTCTGCTCGCTAATCCTCGCTCAGCAATTGCCTCCTGGGGAACAGGAACAGCTAGGCAGAGAATGTTCTAGGGCAATCAGGGAAGGCTTCCTGGAGATAGTGTTTGTGTTGGTAAGAATCTCAGCAGGTGTAGAGGGGGTATCATTGTGCCAGTGGGCACAGGAAGGGCAGGGACAGTTCCACAGCGAAAAAGAGCACAACCACTTCACTCACTTTGTGACCTGGGGCTTACTCAGTCTCAGATTCCTCCTCAGCACCGTGTGACTGATAATCCCTTCTTCCTAGGGTTCTTGGGAGGTTTCCAGTCAGGGAGGGTTTCTTAGCTTCCTCCCCATGGGGCTGGGCCAGGATGGGTCTCTCTTTGCACTGCCTCCTCCCGACCTCCTCTCTTAAAACCTCATCACTCATCCTATGATAGTCTTGCAAGGTTGGCACGGTTACCCTCATTTCACTGATGGGGAAGCTTGGAGAGGGAGAGGGAAATGACTGACTTGTTTTTGAGAATGTTATCATTCCTTCATCAATTAAAAAAAAATAAGCATCTACTCTGTTCTGGGCTCTGAGGATGCAGCAGTGAACATGACAGAAAAGCCCTCCTGGGGTTGACATTCTAGTGGGAGAGAGAACAAAACGAGTAAATAAGTGAACTAAATGATCTCCAGTTATAAGTGCTATGAAGCCCACAGATCCTGGAGACAGGGCTGAGAAAGACGGGACTGATTTCTTTAGAGCAGTTGGTCAGGGAGAGCCTCCCTGAGAAGATGACCTTGAGCTGAGAGCTGGGGAAGGAGGAGAGGGGCCCAGCTAAGAGCAGCAGTCTGGGCCGAAAGAACAGTGGCCAGAACTTACTTCTTATGTCCAGTTGAGGTAGGTACTATTGTTCCATTTTACTGATGTGCAGACTAAGGCCCAGTGAGGTTAACTGAAACCAGTGAGCAGAGGGAGAAGCCTCAAGGTAAGGAACAAGGAAAGAGCTGGGCTCTTTCTAGGAATTTACTGGAGATCTGAGCAGCTAGAGTAAGTGAAGAAGCAGGGAGTGACCTTCAACTTGGTCTGTGGTTTCTTATTTCCCAGAGCTTCCCTGAATAGGAGTACAGTGTAAACCAAAGCTTGTTTGGGAGATGAGCAGCTCGTCCTGGGGATGGAGGTGGGGATTTTGCTGTCAGGTGTTCAAAACCTCCCCAAATCCCTGAAGAGAGGAAGAAAAAACTGACCTTCTCTGCCCAAATCCTGGCTGGGCACTGGAGGACCGGCCTGAACCTAGGCCCTCCCAAGGCTGGGTCCATCTCCAAGAAGATGTTGCCCACTATCCCCAGCTGCCTCCTTTGAGGACTGTTCAGCAGGCTGCTCAGCCTCAGTTTCCCATCTGTAGAATGGGGAGAACAGTAGTTTCTGTCTCACAAGGTTGTTGTGAGGATTAAATGAAGTATTATGTGAATTCCTACCACACACGTAAGCTCATGCATTGTGGGCTCATTCTATGGCTTATTATTAACCCCGAAGCAAAACTGTGAGGTGGGGCTCAGCTTGTCCATTTCACAGACAGGGACCTAAAGTCCAGGATGGGAAACTGATGTGGCTCAGCTGGTGAACCCAGGTCTCGTCCACCGCCTCGGGCCAGGCCCAGAAGGGCCTATCTTGTGCCTCGGGGCTCCGGTCCCACGCTCACAAGCCCCTTGCCATGTGGCAAACCCTCTGGAGGCTACAAGTGGCTTTGATGGGTAGGATTCTGGCAGCAGCAGGAAGCAGCCCTGCCCAGCCCGCTGGCTAAGAGGAAAAGCAGAGAAGAGCAGTGGAGGGGGGCAGACCCACCTGCCAGCTGAGCCCCGCTTCCCACAGTCGCTCAGAAGCAGCCTCCGCGCCCCTGCCCCCCTGCCCTGAGGGCCATTGCTGTCACAGTTCAGGCCCTGCGGTCTCTAGTGGAGACTGTGCCGCCCCTCTTGAGGCCTGTAGGGTGTCCCCTGTTGATTCAGCATCCACAGCGCCCCAGAGGGAAGTTTTTAAAGTATATTTGACATGGCTGTTCCCCTCCTAGAATTCAAAGTCCTGGCCCTTCCGGAGCTAGTGCGCGCTGCCTCTCCCCCTCCTTGGCCCTGACAAATTCCGAACCACCTGCAGCCCTGGGCTTTGCACGTGCTATTTCCTTCCACTGGATGGCCCCAGCCCTCTCCCCGGGTGACCAGACTGGCTTGCCACACTCAGGTAAGTATCACTTCTTAACCACAGCATCATCCCAGCTGCCTACATTACGGTGGGCTTTGCAGTCAAGCCTGGGTTTGACTCCCAGCTCCACTATGTGTAACTGTGGACCCTGGTCAACTCACTTCATCTCCGCAAGCCTCAGTGGACTCCTCTGGAAAATGAGGATACTAATACCTAACTCACACAGGGTTTTAGAAAGGGTTTGATGAGAAATCAAAGGCAGTGCTGGTCACACAGTAGGAATTCACAAAATGGAATTTCCCTTTTTCCCTGAGCATTTTATTCATCACTGTAATGGAACAGAGACTACCAAAGTAAACACTGTGGGGAAATAACAAAAGTTCTTAAAGATCATGACCCACTCCTGGAGATGTGAAGTTCCAGAATAGTCCCTTCAGGTCTATCCCTAGACTAGTCTGAGCAAGGGTTACCCTTGACTCTGCTTCTGTACTAAGAGTGAAGTTCCAGAATAGTCCCTTCAGGTCTATCCCTAGACTAGTCTGAGCAAGCAAAACTCCCTCTCCAAAGCAGCACCCTGACTAAACCCTCCAGCCACAGCAGCTTCGACAAGGTCAGGCTCCCAGGCCTGGATCCTTGCCTTTTGCCCTTTTGAAGGCACAGAGCCAGTCTGTCACCCATGGGAGCCTTTCGGAAGACCCTGCCCATTCTGGGAGCCACTGAAACTTAGTGGGTAAAGACAGAAAACCCATCCTGCCCTCCACACACAGCCTGGAGCTGAAGATGTCTGGGTGGGAGCCCAGCCCCTGTCCTCTACCTCTGAGCCTTGGTCTTCATGGTAAAATGAGAACAATTCCTACCCCACAGCTTTGTTGGAGGATTAAATAGGACGCTGTGTGTTAAGTGCCCAATAAGTGTTAAGCTCCTTCTGCTAACAAGCTCCCTTTGGGTCTTTCATGTGTGGGTCCCTTGTCTGGAATGTCCTTCCTCCATCTCTGTCAAAATTCTGTTCATCCTTCAAGGCTTGGCCCAACCGGATGTATCAATTCTTTCTCCGAGCCTTCAGGGCACCTGGAGATTTCACGCTCTGTTGCCCCACTAGACTAGCGCTTTGAGGCCAGGGCTCCCATGAGGATGGACAATGGACCAAGAGCAAAGCTCTGAGTCCCGGCCTGCCCAGGGACCTCAGACAGGACATAATGACCTCCCAGATCTTGATGTTCTTACCTGTAAGAGATGGGGCAGCACTAGCACTGGGTGACGCTGGGGCCTCTTCTAACTACAGGTAACTGTAAGGCTTCAGTCCACGTCAGGCCTCCTCCTCCCTGCTTCCCCTCATGCAGGCACAGGAGACTTTTCAGGATGGCTTTGTGGTCCCAGATGGCTCCTTCTGTGTCCAAAACTCACCTGTATTGTTGCAACCAACCTCTACCTCATCTTTTGGTTAGTACTTTCTCAGGAAAACCTCGCATGCCATATTCCTTTACTTTTAGTCCGAATTAACCACAGTACCTTCTTGGCTGGCCCCCCTCCTGCCTGTTTCCGACTCCATTCTCCATGCCGGCAGCCAGAGCAAGGCTTTTAACATGTAAACCCAATCACATCAGTCCACCACCTGAAACTCCACTGGTCCCTAGCACCTGCACAGTTTTCAAACTTTTTGTTTATATGCCTGTTTTTAGCACCAGAATCCTCTTACCAGATGGAGTCTTTCTAATAGCCCTAAAATGTCTAACAATTAAGAAAGGTATTACTCAGGGGTGCCTGGGTGGCTCAGTTGGTTGAGCGTCTGACTCTTGGTTTCAGCCCAGGTCATGATCTCAGGGTTGTGAGATCAAGCCCCACGTTGGGCTCTGAGCTCAGCAGAGAGTCTGCTTGAGTTTCTCTCTCCCTCTCCCTCTGCCCCTGCTTTCTCTCTCTCTCTAAAATAAATAAATTAATCTTTAAAAAAAGAGAAAAAAGGTATTTCTGTGGCTGAGGAGGGATGGGAAGCACAAGGCCAGCCTGGAGGGTTACCTAGTTGCCTACACTACACCCTCCCACTCCTGCAAGACAGACAGACAGATAGACACACAGCACAGACATACAGATAGACACACACACACAAACACACACATGGCAGCCTCTGAAGCCTGGGCGCTGGACCTCGCCACAATGCCTGCGAGCTGGCCTCAGGCTTGCTTTCACACAGTTCTCGCTCCCTCAGAGATCTCCACCCCTTCACCTGAGTCCCTCAACTCAGCTGGTCAGGCCCCCCCCTCAACCTCTCTCTCCTTTGCAGCCCTAGGGACAGAGACAGGTTTTTTTGTTTTTTAAAAGATGTATCCATTTATTCCAGAAAGAGAGCGAGCACGTGCAAGCGGGGAGAGGGGCAGAGGGAAAGAAAATCTCCAGCTGACTTCACACTGAGTGCCGAGCCCCACGCAGGGCCAATCCCAGGACTCGGAGATCACGACCTGAGCCGAAATTAAGAGTCAGAGGCTTAACTGACTGAGCCACCCAGGTGCCCCAGACACAGAGGCAGTTTTTCACTCACCCTATAGCAGGGCTGCTCCCTGTGTTTTTTATTCATCAGTGTAGCCCACTGCCCAGCCCAGGACCAGGCCCAGGCCCAGCTTATAAATACTTGCTGAACGAACAGCCCCTCCACATACAGGTAGGACAAGACTCAAGACAGATGAAGCCACTTACCTGTCACACAGCGGATCAAGAATTGAGAACTATGGACTCTCCCCCAGCTCTTTCCATTAAACTGCCCCAATTCCTTTGTCCCTTTCTGTCCTCAATGGAGGATTCAAAACTAATTCTGGATTCCTTCTTGGCTGTCAAGGTCAGTGACTCGCTCCTACTATCGGAACTCAGCAGGAGGCCTTTTGCTGTTTGATATCACCAACAGAACATCCTTTGAGAGTGTCACCCAGTGGCACTGGAAGGTTCTGGAAAAAGTGAAACCCTTCAACATCCTCTTCCTGGTGGTAGGCCACAAGAGAGACCTGGTGCCTGAGCACAGCTGATGCCGGAGGAAGGGGAGAAGCTGGCTGCCTCTCTGGGTGCGCACCTTGGCCAAGAGCAACAGGAACATCAGCACAGCCTCAAGAGATCTACGAGGCTTGAAGAGAAGGGCTCTGGGCTCAAATTCCGAGTGGGAGGGAGTGAAAAGCAGGGCAAGGACGATGTGCCCATGCTGGTGACCCCTCGATGGAACAGCCAGGCCCTCTGAAGCCCAAGGAACCCTCATAATCCACAAGGGCTATGCTGGGCTCAGGACGGGATGATGCTAGGTGCCACTGAAGGTCATGACCCTGAGGTCTTAGGGCCCTGGTTTCCTTTGCATGATGGTGAAAATACCAGGATCAGGGATATCAACAACTAAGAACAGAAAAGGCACCCACCCGCACAGATGGGCCTTTCCCCAGGTTACTGCCATCCTTTCTTAGGGCCAAGGATGAACTCCAGGAGTTCCAGAAGAGCAGGTCAAAAAAGGTTTTGCCAAAACCAGGATGCCTCTTCAGTTTGGGGTTCATGAGAGAAGGTCACTCTGCCCCATTTTTATGGCAGAGAAACTGGACTCAAACTCCTCCTCATGGTACGGCCTTCCTTGGAGTAAAATAATAGAAAAATTCCTGGGTTTTTTCTCCTCACAGAAATGAATAATGGTGGGGCGCCTGGGTGGCTCAGTCGTTAAGCGTCTGCCTTCGGCTCAGGTCATGATCCCAGGGTCCTGGGATCGAGCCCCACGTCTGGCTCCCTGCTCTGCGGGAAGTCTGCTTCTCCCTCTCCCACTCCCCCTGCTTGTGTTCCCTCTCTCGCTGTGTCTCTCTGTCAAATAAATAAATAAAATCTTTAAAAAAAAAAAAAAAAGAAAGAAAGAAATGAATAATGGTGCTGCCACCTGCTGACAGAGAGCTACATCCAGCCTTCCTTGTCCTCTTAACTCCCTTTGGCCTTTCAAAGGCTGTAAGCCATGTACCCTGTCTTTCGATTAATAACTTCTTTATTCTGGAAAAGCAAATGAAAGTCATATTCATATAAACACTGACATTACAAAGTACAGGGAAAAGGGGAAGGGAGAAGAAACACAAACCTCTACAAATCCTGCTAATACTGTCTCACCAAACAAGACCATAATGCTTTGCCCCATATTCAATCACTTATATAATAAACCACAAATAAAATCTTCTCTGGAAGATACATCGTTCCTCTTTGAGACGGCAGGGAAAAGGGACTGGAAGTTGGGGTAGGAGGCTTTATTCTTTTGGCAGATCCTCTCAGTCATTATAGATATTGCTGCACTGTTAATAAAAAATATATGCTTCTCTGTAAAGCATTAAAAAAAAAATCCAAGGATGAGATGGCTGAGGTCTCAGCTCAAGTATCTCCAAATACATTGTTGTCCATTCCCTGACCTTCCCGTGTGTTATTTCTTGGTTGTTTTCCGGATCAGTGCCATTCTCTGAAAGGAGAGCGAAATAACCAATTACACAGCTTAGAGTCAGGAATTTTCCCAGTCACCCACATGGGGCACGGTCTATACCACAAGCCAGAGCCCTGGGGAACCTACATTCACAGGGCAGCTCAGCAGGCTCCTTTGAGCCTGAGAGCGGTCTTCAGGGCCCCAAGAGATGTTTGACAGTGGATCCGTTTCATTGACCAAAAGACCCAAACTGCTGGAGGTTAGCAGGATGGAAAAAGGTTAAAACCAGAAGATGATAGCTCTTGTCTTCTGGGGACTGAGGGGCCAGGCCATCCAAGTGTGTGTTTCCAGTCCCCCAGACTAATCTCTCTGAGGATGAAGAAAATAGGGAAGGGGGCTGTTCCAGGCCTGTGGCCACACATAAAGGGAGCTGACATTTCACACTTGATGACCTACAATGAAGGAAATGGACACTAACAATTTCCACCACAACCCATCAGGGAAACATTCAGGTCATGGGGGTTTCAAATTTTACTATTACCAGCCCACTGGCCAAATTACTGATTTGCTTTGTTTACTCTTTTGACCAAGACACTGTCCTAATATTATGATACTTGCTGAGAGAGAGAGAGAGAGCGCTGAAAAGTAGGTAATTTGGAAACAGAGCCAAAATGACCATCCACTGTCTGAAGGGACTCCCTTCTGAAGAATACTGTGGCCCTTTGATTCAGGCTATTGGTGACTTCCCTGTAGGGCTTCCTCTGTGAGGTCTGTAAACATACACACTCCACAGATCCAGGCTATGGACAAGCAAGGGACACTCAGCCAGAACCACCCAAATGTGCCCATCAAGCTTGGAAAAAGCTCACTTTTCAAATCAGAGCAGCCAGTTAAATTAAGCCTTTGTTAAAAGGAAGCCATCATTGCTATTAGATTGACCGATGAGAGAGACAACTTGTTGCACAGAAGTGGAGTTCGGTTCTTGTACTGACCCCTCAAGTCTGCAGTCAGAGGGACAGAGAACAAATGGCAAGTTGGGACAGAGGCCAGAAGGCCTGGCACAGCAGCCTGCGTGCTACCCTCCAGCACAAGTACGGCCTATCTCTCCTTTCTTTTTTTTTTTTTTAAAGATTTTATTTATTTATTTGCCAGAGAGAGAGAGAGGGGGAGACTACAAGCAGGGGGAGTGGCAGAGGGAGAAGCAGGCAAGGAGCCCGACGCGGGACTCAATCCCAGGACCCTGAAATCATGACCTGAGCCGAAGGCAGACGCTTAACGACTGAGCCACCCAGGCATCCCTCTCTCCTTTCTTTAAACTGCCCTCTAGTGAGAGGGCCACACACGACGTTCCAATCAGCCACAGTGCAGAGAGATTTCATTAGGGAGATGTGGACGGGGCGAGTTCTGTCCATATTAGAAGAACCTACAATTAACAGCTTTAAGTGACACCCATCAGGGTTGACAGGAAAAACTGAGACCCCATGTGGGAACAGCAGAGTACCACAGAAGTAACTGACTGTTCTCCTGTGGAGTCCTGCTGCCTCTTGCCCTCTCTGATCTTTGGTCCAGGAAGCGGAGCTTCCTGTGTGGAGGGAGTGACAAAGTGCAGGGACCATAGCTGTGTGCGCTCCCTCAGAGACAGCTCAAGGGGTGGACTGTGGCTGCCCTGGGGTTCTGATGGCTCCTCACCTGTTTGTGGGCCTCTGTGGTGCAAGCCTTTTTGTAGGGTCGGATTTCTTCAGAGCCAAATCCTGGGATCCACATGTTCCACTGGCGTTCTGCAAGGAAGAGGCCAGCACAGAGATAAGGGGGCAGTGAAAGCAGAATCAGGGTGCAGTGTGACCCTCGGACAAGGGTCAGGGAGGACTAATCTGAGCGATCAACTGTAGTAATGAACAGTGGCCCTGCAGACAGGTCTATGGAATACAAATGGAGAATCACATGTGGTGCCTCCAAGGTTTTAAATGACACCATTCAACCTTCTTGCAAAGATAAAGGAGTAACTGAGTCCAGGCTGTGAGCACTGAGCCCTAAGGTTTCCATGCAGCAACACAGAAGAGGAAATTCCTCTGTTTCTTCAGTTGTCTTTCTTTCTTTTTTTTAAGTAGGCTCCATGCCCAATGTGGGGCTCGAACTCATGATGCTGAGATCAAGAGTCACACACTCCACTGACTGAGTCAGCCAGGTGCCCCTTCAGTTGTCTTACTCCTATGTTCAAAGTCACCCCTCTCAAACCCAAAGGAAGAGGAGGAGCAGACAGGCATTCCTAGTGTTCAGGAGTTAAGAGCTGAGTTCCAGCTCTGCTGCTTCATTGTGGAGCTGGATGACGCTGGGTCTCAGTTTCTTCATCTTTTACATGGTAGCAACAACTGTAATAACCACCTCGTAGGGCGGTTGAGAGCATTCAAGGGCACAGTGCAATCCCAGAGCCTGGGATAAATGCACAGAGACATGGGTAAGTCCATGCCACAGCCCTGTGTCCCGGTGCCAGTGGATATGTCATCCCTGTGAGAGTGTCACCAGAAGTTCCCACAGGGCAGAGATTCCATTTATTAGACTGTGTCAGTAACTGGCATAGCTACATGGGCCCAAAGCCACAAATAAAAGTGTGTTGCACTTTAAGTATACCCAATATAAAAAATTATACTTACACAAGATTATTTAGGGAATAAGTCTACTCAAAAGGAGTTACATACTTTATCATACTCCCCGAAAGCAGTAAAAACAGACTCACAAATCTATTTTGCCCCACGCACAGCACTTACTTAAATTGAATATTAGTGGTTTTATAGTTATACTTTGTGTCTAACGTACAGTAACTACTGGGTGCATGAATGATTCATGTTTGGTTCTAGAAGAATTTTATATATAGCTCTCCTCCAATATATTTTTTTAAAGATTTTATTTATTTATTTTGACAGGGAGAGACACAGCGAGAGAGGGAACACAAGCAGGAGTGGGAGAGGGAGAAGCAGGCTTCCCGTCAAGCGGGGGAGCCCGATGCGGGGCTCAATCCCAGGACCCTGGGATCATGACCTGAGGCGAAAGCAGACGCTTAACGACTGAGCCACCCAGGCACCTTGTCTTTTTTTTTTTTTTAAAGGTTTTATTTAGGGGTGCCTGGGTGGCTCAGTCATTAGGCGCCTGTCTTAAAAAAAAAAAAGATTTTATTTATTTGTCAGAGAGAGAGAGAGCACAAGCAGGGAGAGTGGCAGGCAGAGGGAGAAGCAGGCTCCCCACTGAGCAAGGAGCCCAATGTGGGACTTGATCCCAGGATCCCGGGATTATGACCTGAGCAGAAGGCAGATGCCCAACCAACTGAGCCACCTAGGTGTCCCTCCTCCAATATTTCTTTGAAAATAAAAATGCTGAAGGCTTCTGCTAATAATATCTGTTATCAGTACTTGAAAGTGACACTGAGATCATTCTTTGGGAATTAAACTTTACAATCCACACAAAGTGGATCAGGATATGGATCTGCAAAGTCTCTTTAAAGAAAGAGTAGTGGTGCGCATGGCTGACTCACTTGGTGGAGCATGCGACTCTTGATCTCGGGGTTTTGAGTTCAAGCCCCACATTAGGTGTAGAGATTACATAAAAAAATAAAATCTTAGGGGCACCTGAGTGGTGCAGTCGGGTGAGCAACCATCTCTTGGTTTCAGCTCAGGTCCTGATCTCGAGGTCGTGGGACTGAGCCCCGACTTGGGCTCCGCACTTAGCAGGGAGTGTACTTAAGACTTTTTCTCCCTCTCTCTCTACTCCTCCCCCTGGCTCTCTCTCTCTCAAATAAATAAATAAATCCCGGATTGCTGGGTAGCTCAGTTAGTTAGGTGTCCAACTCTTGGTTTCAGCTGAGATCATGATCTCAGCGTCAAGGGATTGAGCCCCCATTTGGCTCCTCACTCAGCATGGGGTCTGCTTGAGAGTCTCTCCCTTTCCCTCTCCCTGCTTGTTCTTTCTCCAAAATAAATGAATAAAATCTTTTAAAAAATTAAAATAAATAAATCTTTAAAACAATTTTTTTTTAATCTGAAAAAAAGCTACCAGGCAAGAATGCACACACATTAAATATGTGTAGCAAAATATTTAAATATGCATTTATTTTTTAAGATTTTATTTATTTGACAGAAAGCATAAGCTGGGGGGAGGCACAGCAGGAGAGGAGAAGCAGGGCTCAATCCCAGGACCCCAGGATCACAACCTGAGCCGAAGGCAGACACTTAACTTGACTGAGCCACCCAGGTGTCCCTAAATGTGCATGTATTTATATTTTATATAATATTAATGTAATAGCAACAACAATCATTTAGTGACTAAAAGGTATAGTAAAAATGTGTGGCATAGGGGTGCCTGGGTGGCTCAGTCGTTAAGCGTCTGCCTTTGGCTCAGGTCATGATCCCAGGGTCCTGGGATCAAGCCTTCCATCGGGCTCCCTGCTTGGCAGGAAGTCTGCTTCTCCCTCTCCCACTCCCCCTGCTTGTGTTCCCTCTCTCGATGTGTCTCTCTCTGTCAAATAAATAAATAAAATCTTTTTAAAAAAATGTGTGGCATAAAGCAACATTGTACAAAGCATTCCATGTACATTATGTCATTGAACTTTTTATATTTCTCAAGACTTTATCCATCAGAAGGGGAGGTTAGTCAATTATGCAAGTATAGGAAATCGGGTCAGAAGCAAATCCGGCTCTGCCCATCCCAGTCTGTCAGGAGAGAGGTGGTGTCCAGAGTTTACAGCTCCATTGGCAAGCTTATCTTTGTTGGGGTAGTGGTGTGCAGCAGACCTAGGTGGTCTGGTGCCATTCAATACCAGGTTCCCTAATTCCCCACGCTCCGATCCCATACCCCCTAAGCAATCTTCTGATTATGATTCAGCCTCCATTAGGCCTGCTACAGAAGCTGTTCTGGCAATGCAGAATTGTGAATATTCTTGTTACTGTGATAATTACTTCTCACCCTTAATGAGTAAACTAATATTCTAATTGTATTATCAATAATTAAAATACAAAAACAGGAATGCCAAACTCTCAAAGTAATATAATCTGTTGTGTGTGGGGTTTTTGAGGCAAGATATACATAAAATTTACCATTTTAACCATTTTTTAGTATACAGTTCGGTGGCATTCAGCACATTACCACTATCCATTTCCAAAACGTTTTCATCATCTCAAATTAAAACTCTGTAAACATTAAATAAGTCCCCATTTCCCCTCCCACAGCCCCTTGTCACCACCATTCTACTTTCTGTCTCTATCAATTTGCGTTGTGATGGTTTTAAAACATGTCTGCAAATTCCGTTACATGTCTCCCATCAAGAAGTGCAGCCTAGGGACATCTGGGTGGCTCAGTGGTTAAGCGTCTGACTTCAGCCAGGTCATGATCCCAGGGTCCTGGGATTGAGCCCCACATCAGGCTCCCTGCTCAGTGGGAAGCCTGTTTCTCCCTCTCCCACTCCCCCTGCTTGTGTTCCTGCTCTCGCTATCTCTCTCTCTGTCAAATAAATAAATAAAATCTTAAAAAAAAAAAAAAGAAGAAGAAGTGGAGCCTATGTTCCTTCCCCTTGAACCTGGCCATATCTTTGTGATAGCCTCAAAGAATAGAATTTAGGGGGTGCCTGGGTGGTTCAGTTGGTAAAGCATCTGACTCTTGATTTTGGCTCAGGTCATGATCTCAGGGTCTTGAGATCGAGCCCTGCATTGTTGGCTCCAAGCTCAGCGGGGAGTCTGCTGCTCTCCTTCCCCCTCTCCCCCACCCCTCCCCTGCTTGCAAGCCCCCCCCCCCAATAAATAAATAAATAAATAAATAAATAAATAAATAAATAAATAAATAAATAAATAAATAAATAAATCCTTCAGCTACCATGTAAGAAGTCCACCTATCCTGGGACTACACAGGATGAGACCATGTTGAGAGACTGCAGAGAGAGGGAGACCTGTGGAGTCCCAGGTTGTTCTTTTTTTTTTTTAAGATTCATTTATTTTAGAGAGAGAAAGAGAGCACGAGCAGGAGGGGCAGAGGGAGAGGGAGCAAGAATCTCAAGCAGACTCCTCACTTAGCCTGACTCGGGGCTCAATCTCACAACCCTGAGATCACAACCTGAGCCAGAACCAAGATTTTGACACTTAACTGACTGTGCCACCCAGGTGCCCCTGGAATCCCAGCATTTTGAGAGTTTCTAGCCCCAATATCAGACTTGGATATGATGAAACTCTGTTATGGGTCGAATTGTGTCCCTCAAAAAAGACATGTTTAAGTCCTAACCCCCAGTACCTCAGAATATACTGGAAATAGGGTTATTGCAGATACGATTAATTAAGATGAGGTCGTACAGGAGTAGGGTGGGCCCTTAATCCTGTATGACTGGCATCCCACGAGAGGAGAAGAGACAGAGAGGGACACACACAAGGGAGAAGGCCACGTGGAGACCAAGGCATAGACAGAGTGATGCAACTATACACAGGGAATGCCAAGGATTGCTAGCCACCCCAGCAGCTAGGAAAAGGTGAGGAAGGATTCTTCACAGAAGCATTGGAGGGATCACGGCCTTCCTGATACCTTGATTTTAGGTTTTTGGCCTCCAGAAATGTGAGAGAATAAATTTTGTTGTTTTAAGCTACCCAGTTTGTGGCACTTTGTTACAGTAGCCCTAGGAGACTAATACATCTTCCTTCAAAACAATCTCAGCCCTAGGTACCACCTGACTTTAATTACATGAGAGACCCTCAGCAAAACTGCCTAGCTAAGCCCAGTCAACTCCCAGACATATGAACAAAATAAACAATTGTTACTGTTTTAAGCCATTGTTATCATTTTTAGTTTGTTATCTAATAATAGATAATTGGAATATCTGTCCTCTGTTATTAAAACCAGCAATATGAACCAGAATTATGTTACTTATTCCACCAAGATTACCAGCACATCCCCAAGCTGTATCTCCCTGTCACCGGGAAGGAAGCCTTTCAGTAATTACTCATGGGCTGATCTATACTGAATCCCTTAATTTCTTCTGCCTCATTCAGTTGGCCTGATTATCTTTTTACTCACAAGATTGTTCACTTTCTTTTGAGCACATTGTAACTGGTGCAGAAGGGGGCTTATTCATTTCCCAAGTGATGATGTTAGCAATGTTAGCAAGTATCTCTCAGAAAAACCCAAGCTTGAATTTAGTGTCTGGTAAGTAGAAAAATGGAATACAAAATTATATGTACATTATGATTATAATTTTTTTGGGGGGGGGCACCTGAGTGGCTCAGTCGGTTAAGCGTCTGCCTTCGGCTCAGGTCATGATCTCAGGGTCCTGGGATCGAGTCCCGCATCGGGCTCCCTGCTCGGCAGAGAGCCTGCTTCTCCCTCCCCCTTTGCCTGCCTCTCTGCCTACTTGCGCTCTCTCTCTGTCAAATAAATAAATAAAATCTTAAAAAATAATAATAATAATAATAATAATTTTTTGGGGGGGAATGGATAAATAGGCTAAAAACTGGAAGAGAAACACCATTATTTAAATGGTGGAGACATAATAGCTACATTTACAAAACTCTTACTTTGTGCCAGGCCCCGAGCCAGTCACCTGACAAATATAACCCATAATTCTCACGATCACCCCGTAAGGATGATATTATGATCTCTACTTTACAAATGAGAAAATAGGCTCTAAGAGAAAGTAAGGAGGAAGGACAAGGTGATACAGATAGAAAGTGGCAAACCCAATGCCTGGGCTTATTCTCCTGACCATGGATGGATTTCTCTTCTCTGTGTGATGCTAATTGAATGAATACATCTATCCCGGAGCCCAAAAGTCTAATCCTGACATGAAAGTTCCTCTGACTACCTGTTCCTGGTGGTCCTGAAGGAGCAACAGTGTGGATGCCTCAGGGAGAAACGAGACAACATACCTAGATGCAGCTGGACATCTTTCACCTCCAGGGTGCTGGACTTGCGATGCCGAGCAAGCTGGCAGGCCGCTGTCACCACACTCTCAATAAAATCATCAGCAATCTGCAGCAGCATCTGGGAGACAAAAGTGGGGGAGAGTAACCATGACATTGGCAGAACAGGCTCCTGTTGCTGGGACAACTGTGTCTGCTTGAATCACATATTTAGTTAGGCTTTCTATTAGAAGGCCTGGAATCAGCATTTGGACTATGGTGAAGATGAGGAGGAGTGAGGACAACACTAGAAACACATCAACTCACTAAGCAGGTTGAGTGCAACTCACACGTTTCTGAGGACGTTATTCTCTGTACTTTCTACCTAGAGGGATCAACCAGCCCAATCCCTCACCCTCATATTTTCTTCAGAATTAAATGGGAAAACAAAAGTGAATCATTTTACTTCCTCATTCACACTTTTTTTTTTTTTTTTTTTTTGAGAGAGAGAGAATGAGAGAGAGCACATGAGAGGGGTTAGGGTCAGAGGGAGAAGCAGGCTCCCCGCCGAGCAGGGAGCCCGATGCGGGACTCGATCCAGGGACTCCAGGATCATGACCTGAGCCGAAGGCAGTCGCTTAACCAACTGAGCCACCCAGGCGCCCCATTCACAGTCTCTTAAAGCATTTTTATTTCCATTAATCTCACCGAGTCCTTATACTAATCCTGTGAAAAAAGTGGGGCAGGGATTTTATCCACCTTCTATACAGAAGGGTGCTGACTCACGGCCATGCAACTGCTAAGCAGTGGACCCAGGACTTGACTTTGAGGTTCCATGTCCAAAACCTGGGTTCTTTCCACTTCACTATCAATTATCCTGGACTATGTGAAGAATAAAAGAATTCTGAAGCTAAAAATCTACGTGAAAAAAATTGGAATTTTCGTCAGTTTGTTCCCCATGGCTTCCTCTGCTGACCAAAAATAAAATAAAATTACAACCATGGATAGACATTACTTATTCTGCTAGACCATTATTGCATTGTCATCTTTCCTATGAAACCAAATGGATACCATCTAATGGAGAGATCGACCCTCCCTCCCTCCCTCCCTCCCTCCCTCCCTCCCTCTCTTTTTTTTTTTAAAGATTTTATTCATTTATTTGACAGAGAGAGAGAACAAGTAGGCAGAGAGGCAGGCAGAGGGAGAGGGAGAAGCAGGCTTCCCGCTGAGCGGGGAGCCCGATGCAGGGCTCGATCCCAGGACCCCGGGATCATGACCTGAGCCGAAGGCAGCGGCTTAACTGACTGAGCCACCCAGGCGCTCCTCTCTCTTTCTTTTTAAAGTAAGCTCCTGGAGCGCCTGGGTGGCTCAGTTGGTTGGGCGTCTGCCTTTGGCTCAGGTCGTGATCCCAGGGTCCAGGGATCGAGCCCCGCATCCAGCTCCGTGCTTCTCCATCTCCTCCGCCCCTCCTCCCTGCCTATGCTCTCTCTCTCGCACACTCTATCTCTCTTAAATAAATGAATAAAACCTTAAAAAGAAAGAAAAAGTAAGGTCTATGCCCAACATGGGGCTTGAATTCACCACCCCAAGACCAAGAGTCGCACGCTCTACCAAATGAGTCAGCCAAGCACCCCCTAATGGAGAGATTTCTGATTAAACATGGCAGATCAATTCCAAAAATGACTTCCTCTCCTTCCCTAAATGCACTAAAATAACAGTAAAGGAAAAAAAGACATATAAATCCACAAAGACAATAAGAACAGAAGAGAAAAACTTAAGAGAATCCAATTTTAAAGTAAAATTTTTTTTAAAGATTTTATTTATTTATTTGACAGAGAGGGAGAGAGAGCGCGCACAAGCAGGGGGAGCAGGAGAGGGAGAAGCAGGCTTCCCGCCTAGCAGGGAGCCCGATGCGGGGCTCGATCCCAGGACCCTGAGATCATGACCCAAGCTGAAGGCAGACGCTTAAACGACTGAGCCACCCAGGCGCCCCTAAAGTAAATTTTTGCCAAAGAGATAACAGAGGAAAAGTGGGATCTGATATTGCAGACGGAAGGCACAACATAAGTGCCCACCGAAAGGACACCAATGAGAATTGACCTGATTTACCCCTTGCAACTCCTAGAAGATCCAGGTTCTGGAAGTGCCATTTATCACAGAATACTGGGCTGAGGCATGGAACTAAAGACTGAGAAATTACTACATGTCTATATACAGACTAGTCTCCCATGCCCCCACACTCCAAAAGCAGCCAAGTGACCTCCCCACACATACCTGACCCAGACCACAGTAGGTTTATTCCCTCGAGAACTGAATAGGCATGGCTCTGGATCAGAATACACCAGACACAGCAGAGGGAGGGGACAGACACAGCCTCCCTCTCTTGCCTTTCTCCCATAATGTCAGAAGCTAGAGATAAACCCTCCAGATAGGAGCCTGGAGGATTTTTCTCTGGAGATCCTAAACAACTCCAGAGAAAAAACTTACAGATGCTGACATGTAGAGAATCCCCTATAAGAAGGCTGACTTGTGGACAAATTATTCTGAAGTGAAGCCAGTGGTTTGCTAAAACTGGCTGAGTGGAGCTCATAAAAGCCAATTGATTATATGCATTTCTTCACAATCTTAAATTCACTAACATGTGGATAGCTTAAAACAGGGCATATTGGGAATATTTACACCATAGAAATTATGAAATGTTAAGAATTAGGGTCTTTTTTTTTTTTTTAAGATTTTATTTATTTATTTGACAAAGAGAGCGAGAGCAGGAACAGAAGCAGGGGGAGTGGGAGAGGGAGAAGTGGGCTTCCTGCCGAGCAGGGAGCCCGATGTGGGACTCGATCCCAGGACCCTGGGATCATGACCTGAGCCGAAGGCAGACGCTTAACGACTGAGGCACCCAGGCGCCCAAAAATTAGGGTCTTTCTCTCCACAGAGTTGGTCGCTAAACATTTACCAGTACATTACTGAATGAAGCCCATCAGTAAGTTCTGCTTGAAATCAGTTATTTATTTGTTTATTTTAACATTAAGGTTTTTTTTTAATGTTTTATTTATTTATTTGACAGAGAGAGACACAGCGAGAGGGGGAGTGGGGGAAGGGGAGTGGGAGAAGGAGAAGCAGGCTACCTGCTGAGCAGGGAGCCTGACACAGGGCTCGATCCCAGGACCCTGGGATCATGACCCAAGCCAAAGGCAGTCACTTAATGACTGAGCCACCCAGGCGCCCCTCAAATCAGTTTTCTAGTGGCTCAGTCTTTAAGAACAGATAGTCAAGAACACCAAACACGTGAAGAAAATCTCCAACACTAAAAAGAAAATAAACAAACCAAAGGAGAAAAAAGGGACCCAGAAGACACTAAGATAATGCAGGGAAAAGAAGAAAATGTCAAAAAATGTAATTCCTCAGAGAGAAAGGTAAGAAAAGATATTGTAGGGGCGCCTGGGTGGCTCAGTCGTTAAGCATCTGCCTTCGGCTCAGGTCATGATCCCAGGGTCCTGGGATCGAGCCCCGCATCGGGCTCCCTGCTCAGTGGGAAGCCTGCTTCTCCCTCTCCCACTTCCCCTACTTGTATTCCCTCTCTCGCTGTGTCTCTCTCTGTCAAATAAATAAACAAAATCTTAAAAAAAAAAAAAAAAAGAAAAGATATTGTAACCATAAAGTAATAACAGAGTGGCTTAGGGATAAAACAGACCAATTAGAGGCACCTGGCTGGCTCAGTCAGTACCTTGTGCAATTCTTGATCTCAGGTTGTGAGTTTGAGCCCCACGCTGGGTGTAGAGATTACTTACAAAATCAAATCTTAAAAAAAAAAAAAAAAAGGACAAACTAGTCAAGAAGAAAACCTCATGGGCATTAAAATTTTTATGCCAAAAAAAACCCCCAAAAAACTTAAAATAGGTTTAGAAGATAAACTAAGGAAAATCTCCCTAGCAAATAGAACTTAGAATTTCAAAGAAATGAGGGACACCTGGGTGGCTCAGTAGGTTAAACGTCTGCCTTCAGCTCAGTCATGATCCCAGGGATCAAGTCCCGCATCAGGCTCCTTGCTCAGCGGGGAGCCTGCTTCTCCCTCTGCCTGCCGCTCTCCCTGCTTGTGCTCTCTCTCTCTCTGACAAATAAATAAATAAAATCTTAACAACAAAAAAAGAATTTCAAAGAAATGAAAAATAGGAGAGCAAAGACAAAAAAACCTAAGAGGATCAATACAGAGGTTCAATATTCAACCGTCATTACAAAATGAAAGAGATGGGGCATCTGGGTGGCTCAGTTGGTTAAGAGTCCAACTCTTGGATTCGTTTGGCTCAGGTCCTGATCTCATGATCGAGCCCTGCATCGGGCTCTGTGCTCAGTGGGAGTCTGCTTGGATATTTTCTCCCTGTGCCCCTTCCCCCTGCTCATGCGTGCTCTCTCTCAAATAAACAAATAAATCTTAAAAAAAAAAAAAAAAAAAGAGGGCACCTGGGTGGCTCAGTCGTTAAGTGTCTGCCTTCAGCTGGGGTCATGATCCCAGGGTCCTGGGATCCACCCCACATCATCGGGGTCCCTGGTCAGCAGGAAGCCTGTTTCTCCCTCTCCCATTCCCCCTGCTTGTGTTCCCTCTCTCTGTCAAATAAATAAATAAAATCTTAAAAAAAATAAAAATAAAAAAGAATGAAAGAGCAAAAACAGAGAAGAAATTATCAAAAAACTAATATAAGAGGGCGCCTGGGTGGCTCACTCGATAAGCATCTCCCTTCAGCTCAGGTCATGATCCCAGGGTCCTGGGATCTAGCCCCACATCGAGCTTCCTGCTCAGCGGGAAGCCTGCTTCTCCCTCTCCCACTCCCCCTGCTTGTGTTCCCTCTCTCGCTGTGTCTCTGTCAAATAAATAAATAAAATCTTAAAAAAAAACTAATATAAGAAAATGGAAATCGCACACACTGCTGGTAGGAATGTAAAAGAGTGCAGCACTTTGGAAAAAACGGGCAGTTCCTCAAAGGAAAAACATAGTTACCACATGACTCCACACTTCTACTCCCAAGTATATTACCAAGAAAGATGAAAACATATTTCCACACAAAAATTTATACATGAATTAAAAAAAAAGAAAAGAAACAAATAAAATTTACACGTGAATGTTCAAGGAACATCATTCATAATAACCAAAAAGTGGATACAACCCATCAACTGATGAATGCTTAAACAAAATACAGTATGTCCATACAATGGAAGAGTATTCTGCCGTAAAAAGAAATGAGATACTCATACCCCCTACAACAGGAACTTTATTTATTTATTTAAAAGATTTTATTTGACACAGAGAGAGAAAGACAACACAAGCAGGGGGAGTGGGAAAAGGAGAAGCAGGCTTCCCGAGGAGCAGGGAGCCCAAGGCGGGGCTCAATCTTAGGACTCCGGGATCATGACCTGAGCCAAAGGCAGACGCCTAAAGAGTGAGCCACCCAGGTGCCCCAACCCTAAGAGACTCTTTTTTTTTTTTTTTAAAGATTTTATTTATTTATTTGAGAGAGAGCACATGAGAGGGGGGAGGGTCAGAGGGAGAAGCAGACTCCCTGCCGAGCAGGGAGCCCGATGCAGGACTCGATCCAGGGACTCCAGGATCATGACCTGAGCCGAAGGCAGTCGCTTAACCAACTGAGCCACCCAGGCGCCCCCCTAAGAGACTCTTAACTACAGGAAATAAACTGAGGGTTGCTGGAGGGGAGGTGGGTGGGGGGATGGGGTAACTGGGTGATGGACATTAAGGAGGGCACGTGATGTAACGAGCACTGGTTATTATATGCAACTGATGAATCACCAAACTCTACCTCTGAAACTAATAATATATATATATATATTTTTTTTTAAGATTTTATTTATTTTTTTGACAGAGAGAGACATAGCGAGAGCAGGAACACAAGCAGGGGGAGTGGGAGAGGGAGAAGCAGGCTTCCCGCAGAGCAGGGAGCCCGATGTGGGGCTCGATCCCAGGACCCTGGGATCATGACCTGAGCCGAAGGCAGACGCTTAACGACTGAGCCACCCAGGTGCCCGAAACTAATAATATATTATACGTTAAAAAAAATGTGTTGAGAGCTGCACAGTTCTGTGAAGAGACTAACAACCACTGAGCTGTAGATTTCAAATGAGTGAATTTTATGGTATATGAATTATATCTCAAAAAAACTGCTGTCTCAAACACCCCCCTACATATACACACACAAAGAGAGCAAATATTTTACCTCTGGTTAAAAAAGTAAAAATAAAAATAAAGTTATACTATTTTTGTAACCCGTATTTCTTTTCCCTGTCATTAAATATTCCTCTGCAAAGGCAAAACAGACAACAATAAGAAACTCCCAACCCTAAAATATACAAAATCATCCCAGAATTGAGGCACTCAAGTCCCCAGAATTAAAGCAGGCTCCAGGAACCCAGCACAACAAATGAAAAAAGATACTAAGACTCATATGAAAATTCAGAATTAAAGGAAGACTAAAAAAATTGGGATTAGAATAGCATGAGATTTGGGGCACCTGGGTGGCTCAGTCGGTTAAGCCTCTGCCTTCAGCTGCATTCAGGGTCCTGGGATCGAGCCCCGCATGGGGCTCCCTGCTCAGTAGGAAGCCTGCTCCTCCCTCTCCCACTCCCCCTGCTTGTGTTCCCTCTCTCACTGTGTCTCTGTCAAATAAATAAATAAAATCTTAAAAAAAAAAAAAAGAATAGCACGAGATTTCTTTCGTTTTTAAGCAGGTTCCATGCCAAACGTGGGGCTCCATGAAAATATATATCTTTTCATAATCTAATTCTAAACTCACGCAAACTAAAAATTGTGAGGTTAGAATGTAAGATACTTTCAAACATTTGCTTCTCATCTATCCTTTTGTAGGCTGTAACAACAGCAAAAAAAAATGTGCTCTAACAAAAAAAGAGAGTAAATAAGAGGATGTGGGGGGTGCCTGGTGGCTCAGTTGTTAAGTGTCTGCCTTCGGCTCAGGTCATGATCCTAGGGTTCTGGGATCAAGCCCCACATCAGGCTCCTTGCTCCACAGGAAGCCTGCTTCTCCCTCTTCCACTCCCCCTGCTTGTGTACCCTCTCTCGCTGTGTCTCTGTCAAATTAAAAAAAAAAGAAGAGGATGTGGGATCTAGGAAACAAGGGAGCCAAAGAGGAAAAAAATAGCAAAAGGAAGACCCAAGCAGGGTTTGTTCAAGGGGCCTAAAATTAATTAGAGCAGAAGAAGATGGAGGGGTTTTTTTTATTATTATTATTTAAATTCGATTAGCCAACATATAGTACATCATTAGTTTTAGATGTAGTGTTCAGTGATTTATCAGTTGCCTATAACACCCAGTGCTCGTCACATCACGGGCCCTCCTTAAAGGATGGAGGTTTCTGAGAGTGAAATCTGAGTTGGGGGAGGACCCAAATCTGTAGATTATTTTTCCATTTGGAAAACAATGTTGATAGGTGTATACCAGAGCTGATAGCAGAACCAGAATAAAAATGGCACAAAGAAAACTAAATAAAAATAAGTCAATTATAGGGGCGTCTGGCCAGCTCAGTCAGTACAGTGTGCAACTCTTGATCTCAGGGTTGTAAGTTCAAGTCCCATGTTGGGTATAGAGATTACTTAAAAAATAAAATCTTTGGGGCACCTGGGTGGCTTAGTCATTAAGCGTCTGCCTTCGACTGAGGTCATGATCCCAGAGTCCTGGGATTGAGCCCCACATCGGGCTCCCTGCTCAGTGGGAAGCCTGCTTCTCCCTCTCCCACTCCCTCTGCTTGTGTTCCCTCTCTCGCTGTGTCTCTCTCTGTCAAATAAATAAAATCTTTAAAAAATAATAATAATAAAATAAAACCTTAAAAAAAAGTCAATTATCACCTTCAGTAGGTAGTACAAAACAGGACTTGGTTCAGTGGTGAACAATATGTACATGATCAGAATAATGTCAATACTGATTTCTGAGTTATCTAAAAGTTGTGACAAAACTATATTGAAGGGACGCCTGGGTGGCTCAGTTGGTTAAGTGACTGCCTTCAGCTCAGGCCATGATCCTGGGGTCCTGGGATCAAGTCCCGTATCAAGCTCCTTGCTCGGTGGGGAGCCTGCTTCTCCCTCTGCCTGCCACTCCCCCTGCTTATTCTCTCTCTCTCTGACAAATAAATAAATAAAATCCTTAAAATATATATATTAATCAGAAACTATATTAGAAAAATGAGGGAGGGGCGCCTGGGTGGCTTAGTTGGTTAAGCGGCTGCCTTCGGCTCAGGTCATGATCCCAGGATCCTGGGATCAAGCCCCGCATCAGGCTCCCTGCTCAGCGAGAGCCTGCTTCTCCCTCTCCCTCTGCCTGCCGCTCTGCCTACTTGTGCTCTCTCTCTGTCAAATAAATAAATAAATAATATCTTTAGAAAAATGAGGGAAAGGAAAGCATGGATGGACATGTGTGTGGCTTAACAAAATCGTCATCTACAGGAAGTCAATAGACAGAAACCAAAGAGTATCTGTTTAAGTGTATTACTTAGAAATATGGGGGAGTATGATAGAAACAACTACAACTGTTGAAAGTGATTGCCAGGGGCGCCTGGGTGGCTCAGTTGGTTAAGCGACTGCCTTCGGCTCAGGTCATGATCCTGGAGTCCCGGGATCAAGTCCCATATCGGGCTCCTTGCTCAGCAGGGGGTCTGCTTCTCCCTCTGACCCTCCCCCCTCTCATGTGCTCTCTCTCTCTCAAATAAATAAATAAAATCTTTAAAAAAAAAGAAAGTGATTGCCTATGAGCAGCAAACTAAGCCCTTTCCACCAAGCAAAAGTAGCAGCAGTGGCTAGGTATAAAGTGTAGGCATTCTCCCAGGTGATTTGTAGAAGTCATTCCACGGGACCCTCACAATAACCCTGTCGGTAAATAATACCACACCCAACACAAGAGGAAGCTGAGTCTCAAAAAGCTTCAGTGACATGTCCACAGCTACAAAGCCGGTAAGTGGCAGAGCCAAGATTCAAATTCAGATGTGTCTGCCTCTGAAGTCTGTGCTCTTAACCGCTATTATGTATTAGCTCTCAGGGACCCAGACTCATCATGCCCAACTCCATCTTACCTCCTCCACATCTTCATCCAATTGCTCATTAGGATCCACTTCTCTTACTAAGTCTTGTAATTTCTTCTTGGTCAATACCTAAAGTTAATTGGGAGAAGATTTTTCAGCCAAGTATTAAGGAAACAGAACACTTTATTACCCTCTAATGAAGAAATGCTGTCAATTTGTTGGGTTTAGTTTCTACCTTCCAAAAGTTAACAGTCTGGCCTACCTGGTAGTCTGCTCCAAGACTACACTCCCAAGACAGAAGCGGCCTAGGGAAAGGCTAAAAGAGCAGTGTGGAAGAGGCCAACACCTGTCAGTTTATTTCTGCCTCTTGAGCTCACTGTGCCTTACCTTTCCTCTACATTAAGTAATTTGCAATTTTCTGACCACCATAACTGATACTGCACCTCTGTTGCCTTTGGACATGTTCTTCCACCCTTCTTCCTATCTGCTCAGTCCATGGTGCCTCCTTTCTGCCCTTCCTAGCTCACCTAGGTAAAAGGAACCACTTCCTCCTTTGGCCTCTACTGTACCCCGTGCACCCTTCTGTCATGCATATATTTATAAACTTGCCTGTTTCTGACTTAATAGGCTGAAAGCTCTCTGATGGCAGGGAACATGTGTTCATCTCTGTATAATATTTGCATAAGTGTGTACAACTGTGATTCCTCTTTCATTGAAATGTCATGTCACATACACATGCCATTAAACAATAATCAAAAGACACACATTAAAATGCTAAGCATAGTTTTTTTGGGGTGGTGGTAGAATTATGGGCTCTTTATTCTGTATTTCTAAAGTTTCTGTGATAAGATGTATAATCTTGGAAATAAGGAAGAGATGAATTTTCTAAATAAATTATTTGTTAATTATGTGTCAGATCTATCCATTCTACCATTACCACTTAAGGCAAGCCTTCACTCCATGTCTTGATTTACTGCAAAAGTCTTAGACTTGGTCTTCCTCTCGGTCCACCCCTTTCCTACCTTTCTTGTCCACTTACTGCCAAGTTAATCCTGCTAAGACATACGACTTTTATTATGTTACTTACTCCTCTATTAAATATTTGCAAAGATTGTCTAATGACTAAGTTTCAAAAGAGACAGACTCGTATATGCCCAGTATATTCTGCCATATTCCTGCCTATATAATTTTACCTCCTGTTCTTCTCTAACAGATTCCACATTCAACACAGGTTGGCTTCCTGACTATCTGCCCAACCCTCTCCATTCGCCTTTGCTAGTCCCTCCTCCCATTCCCTTGAAATGTCTCTCCCTCCTACTCTATCCAGCCTACAAGGCCCAAGACAAGAGATTATACTTATTTTTTATCTCTTGTGGCTCTGGAGGGCAGAATCAGAATCATGGGCAGAAAGTGGGGGAGAGAGGGCATTGGGGGGGGCAGATTTTAGAATCAGTGCAGAAAGTTAATAATGGAGCAGCTGGCTGAACTAGAAGGAGAAAAGACCGGAGGCAATAATGCTTTTATTACAGGAATAATGAATAATGAATCCATTAGTTATTTTATTATTTTATTTAACTACTTTATTTAACAATTATATAGTGTATATATATTTATATATACATATATATAAACCTGTCATAGGCAACAGTGTTAGTGTGTGTGTATGAATGTATGTACGTATACATACGCACACATAAACACCACAGAGTAAACATTGATAAACACTGTACATGATAATTTGATAAAGAACTTTAGAAGTCCAAAGGAGGGAAAAGACTCTTTTTCAGCTGAGACGAAGAGGCAGCATCTGAGACAGACATCTCTCAAAGCATTATTGGTTCAAATAACAGATAAGAGATGCCTAGGGAGAGCAAAAAGTAAGAGATGATACCTGATTGTTTTCAGGGCTGAGACGCCCTCCTGTCCCAGGAGGACCCGGTATCTTTACCACTGTAGTGCTATTGGCCATGGAGCCTTGTGGAGGGGTGCTGGCTGGTTCCGGTTTTATGGATGAGAAATTGGAGAGGTTGATTAGGGCTGAAGGGCCAAACTGGTTCATAATCTGCCGAGCTTTGGACTTCAGCTCATAGAGCTTATCGAGATCCTGTTTCTTTTTGGAGCTGTGAGGACCAAGGCCAATCAACTGTAGAAGGAAAACAAGAGAACTAGCTCCAGAAACACCTTTAATAAAGGATAAGGTTTGAAAGTAAAATTGCATAACGTCTGTCAGACTTGAAGGGTCTTCAGGATATCTGGGATAGTGACCATTTGATACCTGCACATTAAAAATAGAGGGAATGAAGAATGTTCATTGCTCTCACCTCATATTTAGAAACCATCTCTTCTCCAAAAGCTAAATGAAATAGTCCACAAAATTAAATAAGGAAGAAAGCAAATGAAATAAGAAATCTTACATACAAAAATAAACTAGAATAAGACATTTTTGAAGACTTTGTAAAAACAGAATAGGTTAAGTACTACATGCATTATTTTTGAACAGCAAATAATGTTAAATTCAAATAAATCATGGCACAATCACATATTTAAAACTCAGCCACAAAACTTAAGAAAACAGATTAGTTCATTTTGGCACTTCAAAACATGCTTAAGTCTATGTCAGGTCTATGTCTAATAAACACAATTTTTAGCAACTGTTAAAAGTAAGCTGTTCCTTGTCATCAAGAGCAAATTTTCTGAGTGTTAGCAATCTTTAAGTACATGCAGAGTCCCTAGCCTGGAGTAGCCAAGACTCCTCAATTTTAAAGCCATGAGGTAGACACTGTGGACAGCAGCTTTGGTGTCATCAAGACCAGAAGCACATTTACCAAGTTCCGCCAATAGCGGCCTCAGTGCGCTTACTTACAGCTATCTGAGTGTCTAGATCTTTAATTACATCAGCAACGGCTGTGAGCCCGGTGAAATGAGAGGCAGCCATTTTCAAAAGCTACCTGTAAATGAACAACTGGCATCAAGCACCACCCTTGCCACAGAACCATTTTAATTGCATGGCCTGGCACATCTTCACTGGCCAGGATCCAAGCAAACCAGATGTGGAGAAACACATCCTTATTCTTGTCTCCTTATTCATACTGGGCACCGAGGAAAACATCTCCATCTCTTTCATACACAACTTTTAAAATTAATTAATGATGATTATAGTAATATAGATTCTCTTCCAATAAAACAGTGTTCTATTGTTAGGGATAAGCTAGCAGCATATGAAAACATTCGCCAAAACTGTGAAATGAACCTGCAGGAATCAAGGCAGTGGTTTTCAGAACTTGGTGAAGCTTAGCAACCTAAGTGAGTATCTGCCCTGTCAACTCTTGCCCCGTACTGCTGCATTCCTCCCCCAACAAATTGTCTAACTCTCTAATATGAGAAATGACCTTTCCTGGTTTGCCCTTAACAAAAGCAACTGACGGGGCACCTGGGTGGCTCAGTCCGTTAAGCGTCTGCCTTCGGCTCGGGTCATGATCCCAAGGTCCTGGGATCGAGCCCTGTGTCGGGCTCCCTGCTCAGTGGAGAGTCTCCTTCTCCCTCTGCCCCTCCCCCAGCTTGTGCTCTCTCTCTCTCTCTCTCTCTCTCTCTCTCAAATAAATAAATAAAATCTTTAAAAATAAATAGGTAAAAGCAACTAACTATGTACTGGTTAAGTGACCAAGAGAAAACTTGTTGGCCAAGAGTCAGCTGAGGAGATAGGAGAGCATCAGGATCACGTGTTTGTTTTTTAACCATATGCCTCCTTTTCCCTTACCCACAAATGTTACCACCGGAAGAATCAGGATAGGGAAAGATTGTTAACATGGTAATAGTTAACAAAGTATTTCACCACACTGAACATACCTTTCAAATGACATTCGCACAACCTTCAATGGGCTTCCCAAATAGTACTAGGTATTGCTCAAAATAAGTAGACTTTTTTTGTAACAGAGATTTCTGTATAATGGGAATTTCTATAATAAGACCTGTAGACAAAAATATAGCCTAACGGGGCGCCTGGGTGGCTCAGTCGTTAAGCGTCTGCCTTCGGCTCCGGTCATGGTCCCAGGGTCCTGGGATCGAGCCCCGCATCGGGCTCCCTGCTCGGCGGGAAGCCTGCTTCTCCCTCTCCCACTCTCTCTGCTTGTGTTCCCTCTCTCGCTGTGTCTCTCTGTCAAATAAATAAAATCTTTAAAATATATATATATATATAGCCTATCTACACAGCACCAAAAATGAATAATCATTTATCAAATTAGGAATTAACCTTAAGGAATAGCTCCAGTGGCTATTAATGAAATAAGGGGAATCTGTACATTGTAAGAAAAATCAAAGTTTCTCTCTCAGAAACTAGACTGTACTTTACTGTACTGTTTTGTTGAGAAGCAAACAATACTTCTGCATTTTCAGTAATTCTGGGAAAGTGAGCTACTTCTTCCATTAAAACAAAACAAAGCAGGGTGCCTGGGTGGCTCAGTTGGTTAGGCGACTGCCTTCAGCTCAGGTCATGATCCCAGGGTCCTGGGATCGAGTCCCGCATCGGGCTCCCTGCTCTGCGGGGAGCCTGCTTCTCCCTCTCCCACTCCCCCTGCTTGTGTTCCTTCTCTCGCTGTGTCTCTCTCTGTCAAATAAATAAATAAAAATAAAATCTTAAAAAAAAAAACAAAAAAAAAACAAAGCAGATGATAACCAGACACTCATTACCAGACTGACACTGCCCTTAGTTTCCTAGACTGTTCCTTTATTTGGTTGTATTTAAAACACCATATTCGTAGAGGTGATGATTACATGGGTTTATACAATGTCAAATTCATCACACTGAATATTTAAGATCTGTGCATTTTACTGTATATAAATTATACCACAATTAAGGACAATAAATCAAATCTCTTGCCCCCCCACCCAAATAAGTAAAGGACTGCACTCTCAGGCAGTTAACCCAGAAAAATGAAAACCTGTGCTCCCATGCAAACCTATATGCTAATGTTCATAGCATTTATCAATAGGGAAAAGACAGATCATTGAATAAATGATGGTATATAGTACATCTGGAAAATATGTGGTTTCATGTTTAAAATTTAAATATTTGATCCACCTGGAATGAGAGGGGTATATATATTCCTCCCTTCATATATTCCTCTATTCCACTTTTTTTAAAAGATTTTATTTGGGGCGCCTGGGTGGCTCAGTCGTTAAGCATCTGCCTTCAGCTCAGGTCATGATCCCAGAGTTCTGGGATCGAGCCCCGCATTGGGCTCCCTGCTCGGCGGGAAGCCTGCTTCTCCCTCTCCCACTCCCCTTGCTTGTGTTCCCTCTCTCGCTGTGTCTCTCTCTGTCAAATAAATAAAATCTTTAAAAAAAAAATTTAAAAATATATAAATAAAAGACTTTATTTATCTATTTGACAGAGAGAAAGAGAGAGCCAGAGAGCAGCTGCTTAACCGACTGAGCCACCCAGGCGTCCTGGCGCCTGGAACTTCTATATGTTCTGTCTCACCACTGTTGTTAGTTGCTACTTGACTTTTTAAACTCCTGTAGGACAATAAATCTGATTTTATTCCTTATTATAATCTTGGCACCTTAAAAAAAAAAAAAAGACAATACAAAAAGAGTACATTTGGGCGCCTGGGTGGCTGTCAGTCAAGCATCTGCCTTCAGCTCAGGTCATGATCTCAGGATCCTGGGATCAAGCACTGCATCGCCTCTCCTCCCCTTCTGCTCTCTCTCTCTAATAAATAAAATCTTTTTTTTTTTTTTAAAGAGTACATTTAGGGTGCCTGGGTGGCTCAGTTGTTAAGCATCTGCCTTCGGCTCAGGTCATGATCTCAGGGTCCTGGGATCGAGTCAGCTGGGCTCCCTGCTCAGCGGGAAGCCTGTTTCTCCCTCTCCCCCAGCTTGTATTCCCTCTCTCTGTCACTCTGTCAAATAAATAAATAAAATCTTAAAAAATAAATAAGGAGTACATTTATTTTTTTTTTTTTTAATTTTTTTTTTTTTTTTTTTTTTTTTAAGATTTTATTTATTTGCGAGAGAGAGAATGAGAGACAGAGAGCATGAGAGGGAGGAGGGTCAGCGGGAGAAGCAGACTCCCTGCCGAGCAGGGAGCCCGATGCGGGACTCGATCCCGGGACTCCAGGATCATGACCTGAGCCGAAGGCAGTCGCTTAACCAACTGAGCCACCCAGGCGCCCTAAGGAGTACATTTATATAACATCTTTAAAATGATAAAATTTTAGGAATAGAGGACAGATTAGTGAGATTGTCAGGGACTGGGTGTCAGGGAAGCAGATGTGGTTATAAAAGGGCAAAATGAGGGACCTTTGTGATGGAATCATTCAGTGTCTTGACTGTGATGATGGATAAAAGAACCTATAAAAGTGACTAAGTTGTATAGGACTTAATCCACATACACCCACAACTGAACACAAGTAAACAGATACAAGTAAAACTGGTAAATCTGAATAAGGCTGGTAGATTATATCAATGTCAATATCCTGATTGTCATAATAGACAGCAATTTTGCAAAATGTACCACTGGGGAAAACTGAGCAAAGTATACAAGAGATCTCTCTGCATTATTTCTCGTAACTACGCATAAATCTACAATTATCTCAATATTTAAAAATTGAAAAAAAATTATTCTCAGCAGTAAATGAGAAGCACTTCTGGGGTACGTGGGTGGCTGTCTGTTAATCATCTGACTCTTGATTTTGGCTCAGGTCGTGAGCTCGAGGTTGTGGGATCGAGTCTCATATCAGGTTCCAAGTGGAGTCCGCTTAGGTTTCTCTTTCTCCCTCTCCCTCTGCCCCTCTCCCCTCAACTCACGCTCGCTTGGTCTTATTCTCTAAGATAAATAAATAAATCTTAAAAAAGAAAAGCCCTTCTAAAGATGACTCAAAGCTCAGGAATCATAAAAGACTGACATGTTCAATTACATACAAATAAAGATGTCTGAAAAATAAATTTTTAAGTAAAAATAAAAATGTCTGCATGGCAACAAACATAATAAAATTAAAGGACAAGACAAACTAGCAAAAATATATGCAATATGTATCAAAGACAAAGGACTAATTTCTTTTACATATAAAAAATACCAAGCATCAATAAGCACCCAACCACCTAAAAGAAAAATTGCAAAAACAACAAAAACGACAGTACAAGAAATTCAAATAGCTCTTAAAGTAATGAAACGATCCTTTAAAAAAAAGTAATGAAATGATTCTTATTCTCATTGATAATAAAAATGCAAATTAAAACTATTTATTCCTCCTTTGGCAATGATGAAAAAGTTCTATACATACTGTTTGAAAGTTTTATAGAGAAATAATCATTTCACACGTTGTTGGGAGTTGGAAGGGGGGTGGAGGATATAAATTAGTTAGGTCTCTACAAAGGGCTACTTGGCACTACCTACCAAAATTAAAAAAGCATGTATTGGGGCACCTGGGTGGCTCAGTTGGTTGAGCATCCAACTCTTGATTTTGGCTCAAGTCACAATCTCAGGGTCTTGAGATCAAGGCCTGTGTTGCATAGAGCCTGCTTAAGATTGTCTCTCATTCGGGGCGCCTGGGTGGCTCAGTTGGTTAAACGACTGCCTTTGGCTCAGGTCATGATCCTGGAGTCCCGGGATAGAGTCCCGCATCGGGCTCCCTGCTTGGCAGGGAGTCTGCTTCTCCCTCTGACCCTCCTCCCTCTCATGCTCTCTGTCTCTCATTCTCTCTCTCTCAAATAAATAAATAAAATCTTTAAAAAAAAAGATTGTCTCTCATTCTTCCTCTGCCCCTCCCCCCCATTCACACACAGGTTCTCTCTCTAAAAAAAAGAAAAACATATATTGTTTTGATCCCATAGTTCCATCTTTAGCAATTTATATTATAGTTGGATATCTATGTAAATAGAAAACTACACATACGAGGAATATCAACCTAAATGTCCAACAAAAGTGATATAGTTAAATAAATTAAGG